TGAAGTGATTACTATGGAATAAAAACTGAAAGAACTGTGGATGCTGTAAATCAGGAACAAAAACAAAGTTGCTGGAAAAGCTCAGTAGGTCTGGCAGCATCTGTGAAGGAAAAAACAGAGTTCCCGACCTGAAACATCAACTTTCCTGCTCCTCTGATGCTGCCTGGCCTGCTGTGTTCCTCCATTTCCACACTGCGTTAACAATGTCCTCAGTTCCTTCATTGGATCATTGATGTATAATGTGAATGGTTGTAGTCTTAACATGGAGCCCTGCAGAACTCCACTAGTCACTGACTGCCACCCTGAAAAAGACCCCTTTATCCTTACTCTATGCCTTCTGCCAGTCAGGTACCCATGCCAATGTCTTGCTCCCAACACCATGGGCTCTTACCTTATTCAGCAGACTCCTGTGCAGCACTTTGTCAAAGTGGAAATCCAAATAGATCACATCTGCTGGCTCACCTTTGTCTAAATCACTTGTTACTTCTTCAAAGAATTCCAACAGATTTGACAGGCATGACTCCCCTTGATGAAGCTATGCTGGCTCAGCCCTATTTTCCTATGCACTTCCAAGTACTCTGTAATCTCATCCTTATTAATGGATTCTAAATTCTTACCAACAACCAAGGTCAAGCTAACCAGCCTATAATTTCCCATTCTATGCCTCCTTTCCCTTCTTAAACAGGGATGTTACATTAGTCATTTTCCTGTCGTCTGGGACCCTCCCTGACTCTAGAAGATCACTGCCAATGCCTCTACAAGCTATCTCCTTCCGAATTCTATCATGTAATCCATCCAGTCCAGGTGGTTTTTCCACCTTCAGATGTTTCAGTTTCACCAGCACCTTCTCCTTAGATGTTCAACCTTGTGGCATCAGAGCTAAGCACAGCCACATTAGTCACATATGAGTGACCAAATTCAAGAAAGAGCAGGTGCTGATCCTCACCTCCCAAGCCCAGGGCACAAAAGCCATTATAGCATCCCTGTCACCCTGGCTGGGATTGTTCACTCAGCCCAGAACAAATCCTGTACCTGGAACCTTCAGTTCTGCTAGCTTTCATTCCTTTTAAGAGTCGGACCATCAGAAGTGTCCCTGTTTTAGAACTTCTCTAGTGAGTTTGGCTGAAATAACTCCATGCAGCCAGCACAAGGTGTTAATAAAGATAACTAAAAAGTCAACTGCGTTAGGGTTAGGGTTAGGAAATAATATATGGAATCACAGAACTGTTACAATGCAGAAGGAAGCCATTAGGCCATCATGTCTACACCAGCTCTCTCAGCATTTTAACTTGGTGTTAATCTGTTGCACGTGATTTTAAAAAATCATCCACTGCCCTCTTGAATGCCTCAATTGAACTGACCTCCACCACACTTCGAAGTAGTGCATTCGCTGTGTGAGAAAGCTTTTTCTCACCTCGCATTTGCCTCTTTTGCACAACTTTAACATTATGCCCTCCAGTTCTTAATCCCTTTATGAGCAAGAATTGTTTCTTCCTATTCACTCTGTCCAGAACCTTCATCGTTTTGAAAACATTGATCAAATCTCCTTTTAGCCTTCCTCCTTCCAAGGCAAACAGGCGCAGCTTTTCCCTGCAACTGAAGAGTCTCATCCCTTGAACATTCTCATAGACCTCTGTTGCACTCTCTCCAATGCCCTCCCATCCTTCCTATAGTGTGGCAGCCAGAATTGTACACAATGCTTCAGTTGAGGTCTAACCTGTTTCTTCTATAACTTCATCATAACTTCTTTGCTCTTGTACTCCATGGGGGTCAGTTAGTTTGGACGGCTTATTTACAATACAGAGCGGCACGAACAGCACAGGTTCAATTTCCACATTAGCTGAGGTTACCATAAAGGTCCTCCATTCTCAACTTTGCCTCTCACCTCACAGCTGGACCTGATACAATGGATCTAATTCCCCTCAGGTTGAACTCTCTACTATCTCACTTTAATGAGAAGGCATTCCCTCTGACACAATGGCAACTTTGCCTTTACCCCATGGACCTACTCTGAAGGATAGAACTCTGCACGCTTTATTTACAGCTCTTTCTACATATCCTTCCAACGCTAATAACTTGTGTGTATCCCAGGTTATCTGCTCTTGCACATGCTTTAGAATGGTAGCCTTTGTTTTATGTTGTCTCTCTATGGTCATTTTATCAAAACGCATCACCTCACACTTCTCCACATTGAACTTTATCTGCCACCTACCAATGCACTCCTCCAATGTGTCAATATCCTGAAGTTCTACCCTGTCCTCCTCAGAGTTGACAGTTTTTCAAAGTTTTGTGTGATCTGTAAACTTTGAAATTTTTTTCTGACATATCAAGTTTTCAATCATTTCTGCATACCAAGGAAAGCAAGGGTCCTAAGACCCCCTGGCGAACTAGACTATAAACTTCTTCCGGCCCAAGAAGTACCCATTAACCAATACTCTCTAAATAAAAACTGAAAGAACTGCGAATGCTGTAAATCAGAAACAAAAACAGAAATTGCTGGAAAAGCTCAAAAGGTCTGGCAGCATCTGTGAGGAGAAATCAGAGTTAACGTTTCGGGTCTGGTGACCCATCCTCAGAACTGATGGTGGCTGGGAAAATGTCAGTTTATATGGCAAAGATGGGGTCATGGGAGGGGGTAAGGAGTAAATGATAGGTGGAAATAGAAGCCCAAAGAGAGAGAAGAACAGTTCAACAGACAAAGGACTGGATAACAATCTAGCTAGAAGGGTGAACAGTTGTTAATGGAGACTGTCAGTGGCTGACAATGGGTGGTGTGTAATAGCAGACTATGTGATCACAAGGCCTAGTGTGTGGGGTTGGGATCTGGGACATAGGAGAGTTCAAGCCCTAAAGTTATTGAACTCAATATTAAGTCCTGAAGGCTGCAGGGTCCCAAGTGAAAAATGAAGTGCTGTTCTTTCAGCTTATGCTGAGCTTTGCTGGAGCACTGCAACAAGCCTGAGAGAGAGATGTTGACCAGAAAACAGGGTGATGTGTTGAGATGGCAGGCAACTGGAAGCTCAGGGTCATTTTTGCGGGCAGAACATAGGTGTTCTACAGTGTGATCACCCTGCCTATTCTTCATTTCCCCAATGTAGAGGAGACCACATTGTGAGCAATAGAATGCAATAGACTGGATTGTGTGGTGCAGGTAAAGTGCTGTTTCACCTGGAAGGTATATTTGGGCCTTTGGATACTGAGGAGGGAGGAAGTAAATGGGTGGGTGTTTTACCTTCTGCAGTTGCAGGGAAAGGTGACTTGGGGCTGTGGGGCGGTGTTGGAAATGAAGGAAGAGTGGACCAGGGTGTCCCAAAGGGAATGGTCCCCGCAGAAGGTGGACAAGGGAGGGGAGGGGAATATGTGTCAGGTGGTGGCATCTCGCTGGAAGTGGCAGAAATGGCAGCTAATGATTTTCTGGATGTGGATCCTGGTGAGGTTGTAGGTAAGGACAAGGGGAACCCTATTGAGTTGTGGGAGGGAAGAGAAGGGGGTGAGGGCCAAAGTGCGGGAGATGGGTCAGATCCAGTTGAGAGCCCTGTCAACAGCAGCGCTTGGGAATCCACTGTTTAGGAAGATATTTCAGAGGCTCCCTTGTCAAAGTTGGCCTCATTGGAACATATGTGACAGAGACGGTAGGAACTGGGAGAATGGAATAGAGAATTTGTAGGAAGCAGGGTGCAAGGATGTATAGTGCAGTTAGCTGTGGGAGTCAGTAGGCTTATAGTGGATATTAGTAGTCGGTCTATCCCCAGAAATAGAAACAGATGTTGAGGAAGGGAAGGGAGGATTCAGAGATAGACCAGGTGAAAGTGAGGGCAGCGTGGAAATTGGAAGAGAAATTGATAAAGCTTTCCAATTCCAGATGAAAGAGGGAAGCAGCACCAATGATATATCGATATATCGGAGAAAGATTTGTGGGTGAGGGCTGGCATAAGACTGGAACAAGGAATGTTCCATTTACCCCACGAAAAAACAGTCATAACTAGGGCCCATGTGGGTACCCATGACCAACCCTCTGAGCTGAAGAAAATGAGAGGAGTTAAGAGAAAATATAAGAGCTTGGCCAGGCGGAGGAGCGGATGTATGGTTCAGGCCTTTGCTCCAGGAAGGAGTAGAGAGCCCTGAGACCATCCTGGTAGGGGATGGACGTGTGAAGAGATTGCTCATCCATGGTAAAGCGGAAGTGGCTGGAGCCTGCAAACTGGAAATTCCAAAACTGGCATAAAGCGTCAGAGGAATTGCTGATATAAATGGGCAGGGACTGGACCAGGGGAGAAACAATCGAGTCAAGGTAAGAAGAGATGAGTTCTGTGGGGCAGGAGAAGGCAGAAACAACGGGTCTGCCCAGACAGTCCTGTTCATGGATTTTCGGAAGGAGGTAGAAGCAAGCTGTGCAGGTTGGAATACCATCAGCTTGGAGGCAGTGAGGGGGGATCACCAGATGAAATGAGGTTGGTGACCGTAGTTGATACAATAGCCTGTTGTTCCACGGTGGGGTCATTGTCCAGGGGGAGATAGGAGGAGGTATCTGAGAGCCGGTGCTCAGCCTCTGCAATGTAGCGGTGAGTATGCCAGGCTACAACAGCACCACCCTTATTGACAGGCTTAATACTTAACTGATCTGTAATTGTTGGACTAATCTTTACAACCATTTTTGGAACAATTCTTAGTTAAAACAGATTCTGATTAATTGAGTTGCACAGATGGGGGCAGTGTAAGGGGAGCTTTAAACCACATCGATGCTTTTCGTGGGGGGAGGGTTTGTTTGAAGAGAGAAGAAAATGTTCCATTTCCTAATACTAACTTTTCACATCTGTATGTGAATTAAAAATGTAACTTTTATTAAAATGTTCAAACACGAGCTTCAAGGGACAGAATTTCCATCAGATTAAAGCATTGGTGGTTTTATTCCTGGCCAGGAGCTTGTGAATTCAAGCCCATGGTTGTCGATCGATTGGCTTAATTGGTATGTTTATTTGTCTTTCTTCTGTCTCCTACAGACTGTAATCGATGTGATCAAAGCACTGCACTTGACGAATATTGGCACATTGGTTGTCAGTATTATTGCCATGTCCACGATGTTTGCAGTGAAGGTGATAAATGACTGTTTTAAGTCTAAATTGCCAATACCAATTCCTATCGAACTCATTGAGGTAAATACAACAGCTTTCTCTTGGATTAATGAGGTCAGTTTACTTGGTGGTACTCCCGAGCCAATTTGCTTATATTTGCCACACAATATCAATTCAGTACAGTGGTGTTCAATACCAGGAATATTGCCACTTCTCTCACATCCTTATCTTTCTCCCTTCTAAATAGTGGGAAGGAAACTAAACACTACAATATTTAGAATGAGTAGCGTTTGTTAAAAATGTCAAAGCAAAATTTGTGTCTTTAAATCAAATTTGCATTTACTTTATAGTCACAAAGAGTCATAACAGATTCAAAATGTTACCTGCTTCTCTCTCCAACAGTGCTGTTCCTGGATTTAGAAGAATAGAATCCCTACAGTGTGGAGACAGGCCCTTTGACCCAACACCGACCCTCAGAACAACCCCCTATAACTCACCTAATCTAGGCATCCCTGAACACTATGGGCAATTTAGCATAGCCAATCCACCTAGCTTGTACAACTTTGGACTGTGGGAGGAAACCCACACAAACAATATGCAAACTTCACACAGACAGTCGCCCAAGGATGGAATTGAACCTAGGTCCCTGGTGCTGTGAGGCAACAGTGCTAACCACCGAGCCACTGGCATCTCCAGCATTTATGTTTCTATTTGAATTTATTTCTTCTTGATTTACCTCCCTACTTCCAAATTTTAAAATAATAAACCAAATGGTGGGCAATATTTGTGGGAAAGACTGCTTGGGCTGAATTATCAGCCCCCATTACGAATTCTATTGCAGGCACTGGTCACTTTGGAGGAGACAGGATCAGGATTAGCAGGGCAGCCCATGCCCACGTAATGGGTAGCTGTTTATGCTCATTAAGAACCTTGTAACAGCAAGTTAACGGACAAAATTAAAAGTAAAAGGGATATTCCTATCGACCTCCAGTTCCTTGCACTGGTTGGGGCCTGTTTAAGTGCCTGGGAGAGGGTACCCAGTGGTAGGCCATGGGGGACAATGCTCCAGGTAGGGCCTACATGACCTCACAGCAACCTGAGTGCGAGTCTAGACAAAGGCTTCCTTTGGTGGTGGCCGAGTTGCTGTCTTTGTTTATAAAGTTACGGTTGGAAAAAATTGTAACTTGATGTATCCATTTTGAACCTCCTTCTTAGTTACTTGCCCTTGACTGCGGCTTGCTGCTGTTTTCAAGCTGGAAGACCTGTGATTGGCCATCCAGCTTTGAGAGCTGACCTACCATCCTAATTAGTCAGGGAACTTGCCTCCATACCAATTAAGGGAGAGCCCCCATGAATGTCCCAATGAGTGACTGTTACCCCCCTGACAGCAGTTTGGGATATGGAAACAGTCTCAACCTCTATCTCCCAATGGAAAGAGTTTCTCTTTATGTGGCCTAACATGTATCCCTTTCAGTGAGTTTGGAACACTCTGGTGCAAATACATCAAACTTCACCATCTTTCTGTTCTCCTCCAAAATAGGTAATAATTGCTGCAGTGATTGGGTCAAATGTGAACCTAGTTGGAGAATATGGAATACAAGTCGTGGGGCAAATTCCGAAAGGGTCAGTTGAGTATAATATATTTTCTTAAAAGGGGTAGCTGATATTCAGTATGAAATCATTGTTTTGGTTAAATTAATTTCCTTTTTGTTTAATTACTGCACTTCTCAGTTCTGTCTGCTGTAGATTCACCAATCCTGCTTCCTTAGGAAGGATCCACATTTAAAGCGCCCATTAATTAGAGAAACGATAGCACACTGAGAGTAGCCTTGCGCTGAGAAAACAAATTGCTTCTCATTTGTACCAAGGGCTGAATTTTGTGGAGAGGACAGAAGTCCCACAGCCTCCAGGGCCGTTGGCTAAGCACAGCCTGCAGCCCACCCCAGTTACAGGACTGGCAGCACAGCCATGCCATCTACCAGTAGCAGCCAAAGCTGTGACCTATAGCATCAGGAAGAAGCTATTTGAAGGGCGTGGGATCCTTGAATAAGGGTACATGTTATTATGAAAGCCAGTGTTGATTTAGGAGACCTTAGCAATTGGTAAGAGTGGGATCATGTGCTAATGGCAGAGGATTAGATTTAGGGGTAACCATTGCCAATTAGGTAGGGTGGGGCAGGGTATGGGGGCTTTGAGGTGTGATCCCCCTGTGAGTTATGGAGTGTCCATAAAGAAGAGGGGGCCAACCAACCCAGAACCTTCATGCAGCCCATCAGAATTCACTGGAGCAGTCAATCAGACATCATAGCAGACCTTCCCCTTGAATCACATCTGCACAGGTCTACACACCATCTTCAGATCCTACAGGCTCCCAGAGATGGCTTTTTAACTGGCTATCTCTGTAAAGATCACAGAGGTCTCCTGTACACCTACATTCCCGATCTGGAAATCAGTTCAATTTATTATGATCCTGAAACAGCCAAGAAAATATAGTCCAGGGTTTCTTATGGGTGTCATTCAATTTTTTGGATACTGACAGCATTAATTATGGGGCGGCACAGTGGCTCAGTGGTTAGCCTCACAGCACCAGGGACCTGGGTTCGATTCCAGCCTTGGGCGACTGGCTGTGTGGAGTTTGCACATTCTCCCCATGTCTGCGTGGGTTTCCTTCGGGTGCTCCGGTTTCCTCCCACAGTCCAAAGATGTGCAGGTTAGGTGGATTGGCCATGCTAAATTGCCTGTAGTGTTCAGGGAGGTGTAGATTGGGTGGGTTATAGGGGGATGGGTCTGATGCTATAGGTCACAGCTTTGGCTGCTACTGGTAGATGGCATGGCTGTGCTGCCAGTCCTGTAACTGGGGTGGGCTGCAGGCTGTGCTTAGCCAACGGCCCTGGAGGCTGTGGGACTTCTGTCCTCTCCACAAAATTCAGCCCTTGGTACAAATGAGAAGCAATTTCCTCCCACAGTCCAAAGATGTGCAGGTTAGGTGGATTGGCCATGCTAAATTGCCTGTAGTGTTTAGGGAGGTATAGATTGGGTGGGTTATAGGGGGATGCTCTGAGGTTTGGTGTGGACTTGTTGGGCCGAAGTGCCTGTTTCCACACTGTAGGGATTCTATGAATTGTCAAGGGGATGGTGTGGATCATGGAGTTGAAGGATTAGGTCAGCTATGGTCTTATTGAATGGCACAGCATAAAGGGCCAAATAGCCACCTCAGCTCTTACATTTTTCAGGTGATTTGTCATCAGTGCTTCCTGTTTTGTTTTGCCCTGTACAGCCTGCAAGCCCCAGTTCCACCTGACTTCAGCATCGCCTCCAGTCTTGTGGGAGACGCTTTTGCTTTGGCCATTGTTGGATATGGCATCACAATATCACTGGGCAAGATCTTTGCACTGAAGCATGGGTACCAGGTGGACAGCAATCAGGTAATACAGCAGTCCAATAATTTGGGGTTTAGGAACCACTGTAAGACACCCAAGCCAACAATACTGCTTCACTATTTTGCTAGTCTGTGGCAGTTTTGAATCAAATTCCAACTTTTCACCTTCTCTCCTCTTCCCTTCATATGATTACCATTGTTTAAATCGATCCTGCAGATCCTCCTTTTTAGGGAGCACATTGCATCCTCGCATTCTTTTATATGAAGGAATTTTTCTAGGCTTCACTATTCCATCTTGAAGAGAATAACGCAGGGAATTCTGCGTCTTTACAGAGTGATCAGGGAACACATAGGTGATACTGTTTTTAATGAATGCTTTTTGGAAAACTTCAAATAAAGAAAAAGTCATTCAATCCAGGAATCTTATTCCCTCTATAGATCTTGTGCTGTTTACACCATTATGGCCCCCAACCAAATCATTTAATCTACTGATTCAGGTAGTAATGCACAGGTAAATGTTCATGAGAAAGAGAACACGGCAAACCTTCTCATTAACCATCCAATGCAAACAATCCATTAAATTTGTACATAATGGGAGCGTTGAGAAATGGTTTGATATACTGGAGACCCATGTGGTGAGAATAAATAAGGAAGTACACTGGGCTTCTATTTCACACAATGGAATAAGATGAGTTCTGTTTCATTTAAATTTTATGCTTGAATCTCTTGAATTTTTACTCGAAATTAATGGGACTATTGTTTGAAAAGGAAGAAATGTGCAAAGTTGTGAAAGAAGAGGGGAGATTGCATTGCTCTCTTGGAAAACCAATAGAGACATTTCGAATCAAGTGTTTTCTTTAGTGAAATTCTATGATGCTATGCAATTGTCTACAGCAAGAAATATTTGCGCTGTATGGTATTGTGGAAACTATAATGTGTGTTAAAGGCATTGTCTCCACTTTATGGTTTGTTTATTGCAGGAGCTGATCGCACTGGGACTCAGCAACTTTGTGGGAGGGTTTTTCCAATGCTTTGCTGTGAGTTGTTCCATGTCCAGGAGTCTGGTTCAGGAAACTACTGGAGGAAACACACAGGTAAGGGATTTTGTGTATTGGAACTATTTTCAAGATGCAGGTGCCTCAGGTCTTATGGCATAGCCTTTTGAAATATATTTGCATGTTCCTTGAGAGGGATCAGTGAGGAAGATGAAGCCAGTAATATATTTTTTCACTAATGGCGAAAAGTGATTGCCAACATGAGGGGTGTCTTAACCAACTGCTCAGAATGTGAAGAATTTAGGATTCAGATGGGAAATGGGTGGATCCCACAGATTACACAGTCAATATTAATTACTGTTTTGTCCAGTTTCCCCTGGGTATGCAGAGATAACATAATTGCCTTTTTTCCCTTAACAGCTAAACAATAACCAACCACAGATTGACTACTATGGAGTGAAATTCTTCCTTTCTATTGCTGTCAACTGTGAAGAACAATAAATGAAATGAACTGCACTAAATGAATAGCACCAATCAGAAATCTAATAGTCAGGATTTCAGATTTTATAGCCTTTAATTGAATAAGCAAATGCAAATCAACACAAACTAAACGTGAATTAATAAACATATTAGAATCCATATAAACTGTAAATTGCATATTAAATAGGAGATACAACAAAGGCAGATCTCACTGATTTATTCACCAGTCCACTCAAAATGTATGGCCCTCATACCAACCACAAATTCCTTCAAAATGCTAAACTGTTTCTGGTAGAATTTCAATTCTTTATCTTCAAGGATTTAGCCTGATCCCCAAGTGATGGCAAAAGTATATTAACCCTGGCACAATCTTTACTAAAATGGCACACATCTGCATAATCTCCTCAACTCTAGATAGAGTCATAGAGATGTACAGAACGGAAACAGGCCCTTTGGTCCAACTCGCCCATGCCAACCAGAGATCCTAAGTTACTCTAGTCCCATTTGCCAGCATTTGGTCAATATCTCTCTAAACTCTTCCTACTCATACACTCATCCAGATGCCTTTTAAATGCTGTAATTGTGCCAGCCTCCACCACTTCCTCTGGCAGCTCATTCCATACACGCACCACCCCAAATGTGAAAAGGCTGCCCCTTAGGTCCCTTTTAAATCTTTCCCCTCTCATTTTAAACCTACGCCCTCTTGTTCTGACTCCCCCACCCTGGGGAAAAGATCTTGATATTTACCCTATCCATGTCCCTCATGATTTTTTTAAACCCTATAAAGTCACCTCTCAGCCTCCGATACTCCAGGGAAGATAGCCCCAGGCTATTCTTCCTCTCCCTATAGCTCAAACCTTCCAATCCTGACAACATTTTGTAAATAGAGATAACAAGGTGTAGAGCTGGATGAACACAGCAGGCCAAGCAGCATCAGAGGAGCAGGAAAGCTGACGTTTCAGGCCTAGACCCTTCTTCAGTTTGAACCCTTTCAAGTTTCATTACATCCTTCCAATAGCAGGGAGACCAGGTTGCACACAGTTTTCCAAAAGTGGCCTAACCATTGCCCTGTACAGCCGCAACATGACCTTCCAACTCCTATATGCATTGACCAAGAAAGGTAAGCATACCAAACGCTTTCTTCACTATCCTGTCTACCTGCGACTCCACCTGCACTCCTGGAATGGAGGGATATGGACCATAGGCAGGCAGAAGGGACTTGTTTAACTTTACATCATGTTTAACACAAAAGGGCCTGTCACTGTGCTGTACTGTTCTATGTTCCACTTTCTATATGTTTGTCACTGAATCCTCTTCTCGATTGGATCATTCACAGTTGGCTGCTGCAGTGTCTTCTGTTGTTATCTTGGTGATTATCCTGGAAATCGGAGCACTATTTAGTCAACTACCTAAGGTAGGTCTCTTCATTTATTTAAATCAGTGCCTTAGCTGTGATCAAGAAAGTATATAGATGGGTTAGCTGTTGTACTGAGTGGGAGAATTTAATAATCATACTAGATATTGTCAGGTTTATTATTATTGTGTTAAATTAATATCTGTATTGGGTGAGAAGCATGCACACACACATACACCATGTTTGTTGGTAGATATTTTTTACTTAACGATTTAGGACCTCACTAATTTCAAATAATGTTAATCTTGCTTTGTGAACCTCCTGCGCAGCTGTAACCTTATATGCCTATGATCTGTATGTCATTATTTGCCATGATCTGCCTGTACTGCTCGCAAAACAATGCTTTTCACTGTACTTAGGTATATGTGAGTACAATAAATAAAATCAAATTAAATCAAATCAAATTAACCCCAAACAAAATGGATGGATCTGACTTGTGTTTCCTCCATTATGCTGAAGAGAGCTGTAACCTCTACAGTTTCTTTGGAATGTTGCAATTGTTGGATCAAATGTATTTTTATAAGGGTCTTACTTAAACTGCATGATTTTGAGGTACCCAATTAGTGTTACTGTACATAGGGATTCTATTAATAGGCAGAATGGTGGTGTAGTGTATTGAGATACCAATGCGTATCAATTCACTGCTTTCTCTCCACAAATGCTGCCAGACCTACTGAGTTCCTCCGGCAATTTCTGTTTTTGTTTTAGATTTCCAGCATTTGTAGTTTTGTTATATTATATGTAATGCCAATTCATGTTGGCCAAAGGTCGGACTTTTTCCTACTCCTCATTTTACTACATTCCCACTCTCCACACACCAACTGGAGGCTATAGTATAAAACTTCTGAATGGTGAAGTTCACACACAGAAGTCTAACATGCTTAAGCTACGTTCATAGGAGTGCCTTTTTTTTTAGCATTGGCCTATTTGAAATAATCAGGCACAGAGTAAATTAAGCATTCACAGGTGGACATCAGAAAGTCCAAGCCTGAGCTGTCTCCTCACACAGACTGAAATCAAAATCAACAGTCCAGTCTTTCCTAATCTCAGAGTTCCTTGCAGCTTGCACAAATAAAAACTGACAGATGACCTCCTAGCAGATACCAGGGGGAGAAAACAATTAGATCAGTTAGCTCAGAAATCATTAGATAATACTGAGTTATATTTAGCTTCTGTGTTCCATTTGCTTTTGTTTATACTGCTTCCCTTTCTAACTGAACTTTGTTTCTAAAACATATGAATTGTACGATTTAATTGCTAAAATCCCAGCAAGATTCCTAATTTGGAAAAAAAATGAAAATAATAATAGTGAAATATTTGCAATAGTTGGATAGATACCCCATGCAAGATGTGCATTAAGCTTCGTGATTCTTTTCTGCATAACAGGCTGTTTTAGCATCAATTGTCATCATCAATCTCAAGGGGATGTTTGAACAGGTCACTGATATTTGCTTTTTCTGGAGGACGAACAAAATTGATCTGGTAAGAGTTCAAACATTTTTAAAACAGATCATTGTGTATCTTTGTCATCGTACACTTCACTGTTTTCAGTGCCACCACAACATAGACTAGATGCGGAGTTCCTGGACTTCCTACTGGATCAACAATCAACACTGCTGAGTAAAGGAATAACATGATGGATCAGGGAAAGGCATTCCTTAAAGTGAGAAATCAAACTCTTAAACACTTTACCAGAATGTTGTATAATATTGAGACAACTATGCCCTAACTTGCCTCGCAGATAGAGGTAGGCAAGACCTACCTAGTGAAACCAGATCAGTCGTAGGCACTGGATCCCCAAAGATGATGGCTTGAAGAGCAAACTGGCTAAAGTGAACTGAGAAATTAGGTTAAGGTCAATAGAGATGTAGCCTCACTAAGAACAAAAAACTCTAAGTCATACCATGTGTAGCTAACAACTGATGTTCAGGTATCATCGAATTGAAAGAAATATTGTATGTTTCCACAAAACTGCGTAGCAGATCAGAAGATTGGGCAGAACATAAAAACCAGTAAAGAATGATTTAAAGATTAATATATGGGAGGGGAATCATTTACAAAAAAAAAGCTAGCTAGAAATATAACAACAAACTGTAAGAGTTTCTACAGATATTCATAAGAAAATGAGTGAGCAAAGTGAGTGTTGAGCCTCTACAGTGTGAACCTGGAGAATTAATTCTGGCAGATAAGGAAATGGAAAATGAATTGAATAGGTATTTTTTGTCTGTCTTCACTGCAGAGTAATATCCCAGAAACAATTTTGAATCTGGAGATGAAGCAGAGGGAGGAATCTAAAACAATTATGATCACCAGGGAAAGAGTGCTAATGATTAGAATTAAAAGTTGACAAGTTGCCAACTCCTGATATATATCATTCTATGGTCTTAAAAGAAGTGGTAGTTGAGATAGTAGATGTATTGGTTTTAATTTTCTAAAATTCCCCAGATTCTGGAAAAAACCCACCAGATTGGAAAAGAGTGAATGTGGGTCCTCTATTTGAGAAAGGAGGGTGTGAAATAAAGAAGGGAACCACAGGACAGTTAATTTAACATCTGTCATTGGGTAAATACTGGGATCTATTTTCAGGAGGTTATAGTGGAGAAATTAGCAACTATCAGTGCAATCAGGCAGTATCAACATGGTTTTTTGAAAGGAAATCATGACTGATAAATTTATTGGTGTTCTTTAAGGAAGTAACAAGCAACATGGATAATTGGAAACTTGTGGATATGTTGTTCTTAGACTTCCAAATGAACAATTAAAATGGCATCATATTAAATTTTAATATTTTCCTTGGTGGTCTAGTGGTTCAATTCTCAGTCAGGGAATGGGAGTTTATCTATTCTTGGGTGGCACACTGGTTCAGTGGCTAGCACTGTTGCCTCATAGCACCAGGGTCCTGGGTTCGATTCCACCCTTGGGTAACTCCCTGTATGGACCTTACACATTTTCTCCATGTGTGCGAGAGTTTCCTCCAGGTGCTCTGGTCTCCTCCCACACTACAAAGATATGCAGGTTAGGTGGATTGGCCAGGGGAAGTGCAGGGTTACAGGGATAGGGTAGGGGGTGGGTGTGGGTGGAATGCTCTTTGGAGGGTCAGTGTGGACTGGCTTTGCCAAATGACCTGCTTCCATACTGTAGGAATTCTGTTCTATAATACTCATGGCGTAGACAGTAACATATTAGATGGATAGAGCAGTGGTTAGCTAACAGAAAATAGACAGTAGGCATAAAAGTGTTGGCAAAATAAAAACATCTTAACATAGAAAATAGGAGTAGCAGTGGGTCATTTGGCCCTTCAAGACTACTCTGTCATTCAATGTGATCATGGCTGATTGTCTAACTCAGTACCGTGTTCACGTTTTCTCCCTTATCCTTAGATAATTTCAGCCCTGTGAACTATATCTAACTCCTTGAAAACATCTAAATGTTTTGGCCTAACCCACTTTCTGCAGCAAAGATATCATTACTGTATGACCTTAGATTCTGGACTCCCAGTAATTGGGAATGTTCTTCCTGCATCTACCCTGTCTAGTCCTGTTAGAACTTTTTACATTTCTATGTGATTTCCCTCCTATTTCTTCTGAACTCCAGTGAACACAGTCCTAACCAATTCAGTCCCTCTTCATATTTTCAGTCCTGCCATACCAGAAATCAGTCTGGTAAACCTTCACTGCACTCCCTCCATAGCCAAAACATCCTTCCTCGGGTAAGGAGACCAAAATTGTACACAATGATCTGACAGGTGGAATATCATAGGGATCAGTGTTGGGACTTCATATAATTTAAACAAATTTTTTTTGTTGTAGGGGCTAATTTTATGGTTGCTAAATTTGCTGATGACACAAACATGATAGAAAAGTATGTTGTGAAGAGGACATAAGGAGTATGCAAAGGAATGTTAATAGGTTAAGTGAGTGGGCAAAAAAGTTGGTAGATAGAGTATAATATGGGAACATTTGAACTTCTCCACTTTGGCAGGAAGAATAGAAAAGTAACATATTATTTAAGTGGACATAGAATGCAAAATTCGGAGGAATGGAGGAATTTGGAAATCCTGGTAGATGAATCACAAGAAGTTGGTATGTGGGTACAGCTTGTGATTAAGCAAATAGAAGATTGTTGTTTATCACAAGGGGAGCAGAATTTAGAGGTAGGGATAGTTTGCTCTTGTTATATGGGGCATGGGTGAGACCACATCTCAAGTTCTGTGGACAGTTTCCATATTCTTTTCAGAAAGCTTTAAATGTGCTGGAGGCATTAAGAGAAAGTTCAATCAACTGATTCCTGTGGAATGACGGAGCAATGAGGAAAGGTTGGACAGTTGTTGGGCATCCATCCATTGGAGTTTAGAAGACTGAAAGGTGATCTTATTGAAACATATAAGATCTGGAAGGACTTGACGAGGTGGTTGTTGAAAGGATGTTTCCTCTTGTGTAGGGACTCAAACTAGAGGACACAGTCTAAAAATAAGGGGCTGCCCATTTAAGACAAATATAGGGAGCATTTGTTTTTTCTCAGTGTAATGAATCTTTGGTACTCTGTTCTCCAGAGAGTGGTAAAAAGCACAGCCATTAGATAGTTTTAAAGCAGCAATAGATAGATAGATTCTTGATTAACAAGGGAATCGAAGGTTATCCGAGCAGGCAGGAATATGGATTTGAAGGCACAATTAGATCAACTCTTCAATAGAGGCCAACTAGATGTTGACCTTCTTAATTGCTTGTTGCAACTGCATGCTAACCTTTTGTGATTGATGTACAAGCCATCCAAATGTATTCTACTACAGCATTGTGCAGTCTCTATTTAAATTATTTCCTGCTTCTCTATTCTTCTGCCCAAGAGGACAAGTTCACATTTTCAATGATGAGATAGTTTATAGAAACTGTCAACTTGTCCTTTATGATTCTTCTCCTTCTTAGGCAGTCCCTCGGGAGCACAGATGACTTTTCATTGTCTGCTGTACATTAAACAACATTTGAATTTTTGACTTCCTAGCTCAAACTATAACACTTCTTCAGTCTTCCTGGTTCACGTTACATTCTGGTACTCAAGTGTAAAGATCTAGATTGACAATCCAATGCCATACTGTGCGACTGTTGTAATGTCAGACGTGTCATCTTTCAAGGCAGATGTTAAACTAAAGCTCTATCTTCCCTCTTAAGTAAATGTAAAATTGCCCATATGGCAAAATTTTGAGTTAAAGCAAGGATGTTGTTCTTGGTATCCTAACCAATATGTGTGATCTTACTGTGCAAAATTGACTTGCATTTTCTGCATTATAACAGTGACTACATTTTTTAAAAAGTACTTTATTAGCTGTACAGTGCTTTGGTACATCCAGCATCAAGAAAAATGCCATATAAATGAAAATCTTGTCTTTTCTTAATACAACCCCTACTGTATTTCTCTTGCAGATAGTTTGGGTCATCACTCTCATTTGCACTGTATTATTGGGCATGGACCTTGGACTGGCTGCCTCCATAGCATTTGCATTACTTACTGTGATCTTCCAGACACAACTGTGAGTCTCCTAGCCACAAATATGTGCTCCATTGACTTTCTGCTGCATTATATTTCTTTTTCCACCCTCGATATCAGAATATTTTTTATTAGGAAATAATAAAATGTAAGGAAGAATAAAATGGTGCTAAGTCCAATAGCAATGGCTTCTCTTTATTTCTAAACAATTCAGTGATAATTCTATGAAAAGATTGTAGTAATCATTTTCTGTATTTATGCACTCTTTTTTGTGAGTAATGTGAAGCAGTGATGATTCAGTTGTTTAACAGTCTTATGGGTGATCATGTGCACACCTCTTCTGTGGCTACGCCAATTGTTATTCCAGCCAATAGGGTGGCTAATACTTGGCAATGGGATGATGTTATGAGTTGCCCTACCTTACACAATGTGAGCTTACCAATGGCTGTGAGTCCAGAATTCAGTGCTGGAAATGTTTGGAATGCCCTAAGCCAAAGGCTTACTTCAAAATATTGCACACCACTGAAGTACCAGCAGCCTAACTGACGTACTTAAATATCTGGAGTGGGGTTTGAACCCATAACTTCTGCCTCAGTGATGAGCCATAATTTAGGATAAGCTGCGAGTGCAGGAGTTGATGATGCCAACAACATAATGAGTCCAATTGCGCCTCATACTGCAAGACCAATTGGATAGAATTAGCACTTCTATAACTATTAGCATTATTTTTAATTCTAATAGCCTTGGGGAACTTATGTGGCATTTCTGCTTCAATTTCGTTTGGATTTGAGCATTCTGCTTTCTTTTTTCAGCCCCAAATATTCAATTCTGGGACAAATTCCAAAGACCGATATCTATAGAGATGTCAGCCAGTTTGATGAGGTAATGTGAAGATCAGTATCATCAATAAAAATATTGAATATTGGTTTTGCAGGAACTGTAATGAAATAATGGGTCACAGAATTGTGGAAATGTTCATATGAGGCAATGGTAGTGAGGGATTTTATGGAAAAGCCTAAATATAATGTTGGAAGCAAATGATATTTGCTGTTAAATAATTAGGACCTTGGAAAGTTGGGTGCTGATACCAACTCAAAACACTCCTCCTTTCACATACAAAGTCAAATCAAACCTTGACATATAAATAGATAGGATGGTCCTGAAAGAAATATAACATCACAGCCAAAAAGATACTAGAATAGTATCAGGAATGAAGGATTTCAATTCTATGTAAAGACTAGAGAAACTAAGATTGTTTATCATAGAAAAGATTAAAAGGGGATCTATTGAGGTATTCAACATTTAATGAGTAGATAGGAGAACCTGATTCCTTTGGCATGACAGTTGGTAACCAGAGGGCACATACTTGAGATAATTAGCAAAAGCGTTCAAGAGAAGTGAAGAAATGCTTTTAACACAGTAAGTTGCCTTGATTTTGAATGCGCTAATGTGAAAAGCTGATGGAAGCAAAAGTATTTGTAACTTTCTAAAAGACCAAGGTGATTGCCCTTGACATCAAGGTAGCATTTGATCGAGTGTGGTATCACAGAGCCCAATCAACTGGAGTCAGTGGGACTCAGGGGAAACTCTTCACTGGTCAGTGTCATGCCAAGAACAAAGTAAAATTGTTGTGTTTGTTGGAGGTCAAACATCTCAGTTGCAGGACCCTGTTACAGAAGCTCATCCAAGTAGTGTACTAGATCCACCAATTTACAACTACTTCATCAATGATCTTTGCTTCAGCACAAGATCAGAACTTGGGATGTTCATAGATGATTGCATAATATTCAGCATCTTTGCAACTCCTCAGTTACTGAAGCAGTGCATGTCCAAAAGTAGCAATACCATTACAACATTTATGTTTAAGCCAATAATTGGCAAGGAATATTCATGCCACACAAGTGCTAGGTAATGACCACTTCAAAAAATGGAAAATTCAACCATCACCCTTTGACATTTCATGGCATGACCATCACTCAATTCCCAACTATCAACATCCTGTTTGTTACCATTGACCAGAAACTTGAACTGAACTAGACATATAAATATAGTGGCTCCAAAAACAGGTCAAGTGCTGGGAATTCTACAGTGAGTAGCTCACTCTTGACTCCCCAGAGCCTATCTACCATCTGCAGGTAACCAATCAGGAGTGTGATACAATATTGCTCTTGCCTAGATGGGTAGAGCTCCAACAATACTCAATACTATCCAAGACAAAATAGCCCACCTGATTGTACCTACCCATCACCTTCAACATTCACTCCACCAGCACCCCATAGTGATAGCAGTGTGTGCCATCTACAAGATGCATTGCAGCCACTCATTGAGGCTCCTAGGACAGCAACTTCCAAAACCACAATCTAGAGCACCTGGAAGGACAAAGGCAGCAGATCCATAGGAACACCATCAACTGGAAGTTTTCCAAGCTTCTGTCCACCCTAATTTGGACTATATCACAGTTCCTCCACTGTTGCAGGATCAATATTCTGAAACTCCCTCTCTAATAGCACTGGGTTTACTTACACCCTATGGACTGCAATGGTTCAAGAAATAAGCTTGTCACCACATTCTCAAAGGTATTTGGGAATGGGCAATTAATACTGTCCTAGCCAGTGACGTGCATATCCCAGAAATGAATACAACCGCATTTATGCTTGATGCAGAAGAATTTGCAAAGTTATGGGGTCAAAGCTGTGGAATGGGATAATTGGATAGGCACATTGGAAAAAGAGTAGGGCATTCAGCCCCATAGGTCCATACCATCATTCTACATCATGGCTGATCATTAACCTTAATGCCATTTTCCCATGGTATCCCCTTATCTATTAATGTCATTTTTACCTAGAAATCTATCAATCTCTGGCCTGAGAGTAATTATTGACTGAGCTTTGGCAGCCCTCTGGGATAGCGCATTCCAAAGATTCACTGTCCGCTGATACATATAGAAATGTTTGTTTGTGTTTATATATGATTTGCTATGTAATTGTATATAAAATATAATGGTATACAGAAGTTAAATTAAAATGTAATATAATAGGACTATATATTTTATGTAATGTAAACGTAAACTCTTTCAAAGAGTGAACACAAGCTGAATTAACTCCTTCAATGCTGTAGTCTTCAATTACTCTATTATTACTAATGCAGTTCATGACAAAAGCAATTCCACAGTCTTACCCTATGAGGTAATAGAGACAGTTATTTTCACATACTTCATTGAAGCCAGTTCTGAGGCAACATCGGCAAAAAATATATTTCACAAAGACAGTGGAAAAATGCAACCACATGGAAGTGAACATTATAACTTTTGAGATGAAAACAATTGTGCATCTAGAGAGCGAATCCGTTTGGAGTTTAGAAGAATGGAGTTTTGGGGGGACAGAATCTCAAAGAAACCTATAAAACTCTAACAGGACTAGATTGGGTAAACACAGGAAGGATGCTCCCAATAACTGGGGAGTCTAGATCTGGGGGTTATAGACTAAGGATAGGAAGTACGACATTTAGCACTGAGATGAGAAGAAATTTCTCCATCCAGAGAGTGATGAGCCTATGGACTTCTCTGCCACAGAAAACAGTTGAGGCCAGAACATTGAATGTTTTCAAGAAGAAGTTAGAGACAGTTCTTAGGACTAAAAGGATCAAAGGGTATGGAGAGAAAGTGAGAACAGGGAACTGAATTGGATGATCAGCCATGATTACACTGAATGGGCAGACTGCTCAATAACAGCTAGCGGCAAGTTGAGGAGGGCCTCTTAGCTCAGACCCAAGGGAGCAGGAATGTACTTCTGGACCCCACAAGAGAAATCTAGATTTATTTTGCCAGAACTCTCTCCCTACCAACTTCTCTTACCTTCCTCCATATCCTCACAATTTCCCTCTCTTCCTCCATAACCTACCTAACAGTTATAAAGTCATAGAGTCATACAGCACAAAAACAGACCCTTCTGTCCAATTCATCCATGCTGACGGGGTTTCCTAAACAGAACTAGAACCATTTGCCTGCATTTGGTCCATATCCATTTAAACCTTTCCTACCCATGTACTTGTCCAAATGCCTTTGAAATGTTATAATTGTACTCACCTTTACCATTTCCTCTGGCAGTTTGTTCCATACACGCACCACTCTCTGTGTGAAAAAGTATGCTTCAAGTCCCTTTTAAATATTTCTGCTCTCACCTTAAAGCTATGCCCTCTAAGTTCGAACTCCCCTCCCTTTCAAAAAAGATCTTGGCTATTCACCTTATCTATGCCCCTCATGATTAAATTGGTGAAATTTTATGCAACAAACTCTGGAATTAAACGCTAAGCTAATGGTGATCATGTGACCACTGTTGATTGTTGCAAAATAAACATCTGGCTCACTCATGTTCTTTAGGGAAGGATATCTGCCATCCTTACCCAGTCTGGCTTGACTCCAGACCCACAGCAATGTGGTTGATTCTTTACTACCTTCTGAAATAACCTGGCAAGCCACTCAGTTCCAGGGCAATTGTCAACAGGGAATAAATGCTGGTCTTGCAAGGGATGCCTACAATCAATAAACAAATTTAAAATGATGAATTTATGTCATTATAATTCAGCTTCGAACTGCACCAAGTGTTTGTAATCCAATTTTGGTTTCTTTTAAGGCAAAAGAAATTCCAGGAATCAAAATTTTCCAGTCATCCTCGACCATGTTCTTTGCCAATGCTGAGTTGTATGAAGAAGCTCTGAAGCAGATGGTAAGCAAATTGATTTAAAGATCTACAGTCATTAATATTTTGGTCATGGAAAGCAAGAAAGCTCTGACTTTGATTTAAAAAAAAGAACAATCTCTGCTTCTGCTTGGCTGCAACTCCAGACAAAAAGCTTTTTTCTGAACACTCAGCTAAAACAGAAATGGATTAAACTTCTCCTGCCCAGCCTTTGATGTGATATGCATTCACTGAGCGTTCAGATGATGGTGACAAGAATTCTTTGTTATTTGTATTCTGTGGAACTAAGTTAATTTTAATTGCAGGGTAATAAAACAGAAATGATACATGTTATAAATGATGAAAAGAATAGATAATGCAGGCTTAATCTGGGAATATGGCGGCATTGTGGTTATATTATTTAGACTAGTAATGTGCAGGTTTGGACCAACAATCCAGAGGTATATGACAGGATTTTCAGTGTGGTCAGGAACCTGACATTCAGATGAATTCCAGATGCTGCCTCACTGCTTTTAAGTGTAAGTTGCAGAATGGGCCAGGCAGTGAGCTCTGTGCCCACTTACAGACACTTAACACTTCCAAGAGGTGAGTGTTGCCTTCTGGCACCAATGACAATGACAGATGGCAACCATATTGCAGGCTGTTTCCACCTTGCCAATGAAAGCAGGCAACCCCTGAGAAGCTGGGATGAGGCAGACAGTATATGACAAGGTAACAACCATTGCTCAAGATAGAGAGGGTTGGCCTCTGCAACTGCAAAAAGAATTATTTAGGTCCTATGGAGAACCCAACAGCTGTGTACCATCAAATGCGAGACTGTTCAAGATTGCCAGAAAAATGTTTGAAAATTACATTCGAGAATGGTCAGCTCCCTGTTTTCCTAACCCCACTGGCACTAATACCATTCAAGGAAACTGTACACATTTGCCTTGCAACACTATATGGCACTATACATGGCAATCTAGAGCAGACACCATTGTGTGAATTAGTATGTAATCTATTTAAAAATTCAGCAACTTGAACAGCTGTGTTCAGATTTAACAATACCATACTTGCCCATAGTGTTGCCATGGAATCCCTGCTAGGCCTAGCTCTCATAAACATTTTGTTGGGTACCATGAGAATTGTGTCTTTGATGCAATGGCATCTGACCTCCTATCACTTGAAAGTCCCTATGTCGTGTACATCCTTGAATTCATCTTTGAAATGGAGCAGCACACTGAACTCCCTTTGCTTGATATCCTAGTTGAGAAATTAGCCAGAGGGTTCCCTACTGTCTACCACAAGCCTGTCTTTGTTTGTACATGTACGCGTTGCGATTTCTACAGCTCCAGTCGCCATAGATTGTGTATAACATCAACAAGTCAGGAGTGAGACTGAATACTCCCCACTTGCCTGGATGAGTCCAGCTCCTACAACACTCAAGAAGCTGGACACCATCCAGGACAAAGCAGGCCGCTTGACTGGCACCACATCTACAAGCATCCACTCCCTCCACCACTGACGCTCAGTAGAAGCAGTGTGTACTATCTACAAGATGCACTGCATAAATTCACCAAAGATCTTGAGACAGCACTTTCTAAACCCACAACCACTTCCATCTAGCAGGACAGGGGCAGCAGATGCATGGGAATACTAGTTTCCCTCCAAGCCACTCACCGTCCTGACTAGGAAATATATCACTGTTCCTTCACTCTCCCGGGTCAAAATCCTGGAATTCCCTCCCGACTGGAATTGTGGGACAACCTGCAGCACATGGACTGCAGTGGTTCAAGAAGGCAGCTCACCATCACCTTCTCAAGGGCAAATAGGAACAGGCAAGAAATGCTGACCAGCCAGTGACGCCCACTTCTCATGAGTGAATTAAAAAAACTTGTAGACAGGGCTCAAGTCTTTTGCTCACCATTCAAGCTTGACACTGAAATAGGGACAGCGAAGATAACCTGGGGATTAATAGCAACGCTGATCAAATCATTTCTCATTGTATGCCACACAAACCCATGAATGGGCCTAGGGCCATCACTATTTGGTCAGGCTCGAAGGGTAAGATATCTCAAAAGTTTCATCAACAGGTAAAGCTAGCTTTTTGACACTGCTACTGTGCAGTAGGAACACGAATGGTGGTGCTTGCCATGATGCTGGCCATCCAACCAAAAAGACATTCTGCCTATTGCACAAATGAGAAAGGCGGTGTATGAATTTCAGTGCCAGTGTGATGTTAGGAAATGATGGCTGTATGAACTAAAGGCTGATAGGCCATATGAAACGTGTGTCCCTTCAACTGTTTGTCACAAGCAAGTACTGACTATGCCCAATCAGCCTGTGTTTGCAAAGCTTAAGAACACTGACTCCAACAGCAGATGTGATTCTGTGATTGGACAACATTTGCTAAATAATCCTGAATGTGCTAGGAATAATTCTGACAACCAACTGAAGATCATCATTTGGGTTCACAGTGTGGTACATGTGTGCTTACATATATTAATACACCAGTCCCTGTTCCTTGCAGACAGAAAGAAAATGTATACATATTACACCTGTTTCCATTGAACAAAACAGGTGACCACAACCCCCCCATTCTCTAGTGTAATTCTCAAAGTAATCTCTTGACCAATCAATGGCAACCTGCCTAGTTTAAATTTAAACAAAGCTTGTTAATCAACTGTCAGTCATCATCACTCGTGCATTTTCCATGGCAATACCTTCACCAATGATACCACTTCCAACCAGTCAGCATTTTCTTCTCATACAGTATAAAACAGCTGTTTTCCCTTTATATTGACAATTCTTGTGAATTCTCCTGATGACTGCAAATCAAAAAGCTTTGTCAAAATCTGTCATTTTTCAGAAAATCTCAAATTCTGTACCACCAAATGACAATTTGTTAACACCTTGTGTCAACAATGTAGTCTTAATAATCCATTTTTCCTGTAATTTGCAGACTGGAATTAATGTCTCCAAATTAGTTACAAAAAAGAGGAAAAAAATCGCAGCGCTCAAGAAGAAATTGAAAAAGCAGGAAAAGAAGGACAAGAAAAAAGCCAAGAAACAGCAAAAGGTACATTACAGCAAAGACAAACAAATAGTTATCTGACTTTCTCCAAGTTGCTTTTCATTTTATCTTCTGTTTAAATAGCATTAGATTATCTTGTTCACAGGGCTTCATCTTTGAACACTTGTGATAAACATACTATCATGTTTTTCAAAGCCAGGCAATTGTTTGTGACTTCCTCTACCAATACAAGACATTACATGCACTAGTCTTTGAATAAAAATCTACCCATTATAGATTTCTTCAAACACTGTCCTCAACTCAACTTGGATAATGCTCCAAGCTCATGTGGCTTGGACCAAAGGAGACTATGCACCTCATAACCACGGCTATCAAACTTTGAATGCAGTGCTAATTACAAAAGGAATGTTCTTAGTGAATATTTTCATTATGGTAAGGGACATTATAACATGAACTATTGATATTAATAATATAAAATAAGTTTTGATGATTTAGCCAGGCAATATATTTTCATTAAGTTCTGAAAGATTAAAGGGACATAGGTTAATCACAGAGTAAACAAGTCTGTGGTTTACCAGTACATGGACACTGGAAATGGATGGGAAAAGCAGATATTCCTTTACTCCTTTCTCTCATATTATGTTAGTATGACTGTGTACTATTGAATATACTATTATATATTTCACATTATAACAATATTTTTAAATACAAAATATAAATCTCTCTCTAGCTACAAAAACTCTCTGAATCAGGAACAGATGGTCCAGCCACCATCACCGAGAATATTGATAACAACAACTCTATCAGCTTAGAAATGGATTCAGACCTTGACTTGCCATCTAGAGTCAGCAAAAAGCCGGAGGAGTTCAGTCTGGAGTCTCTTGGTCTTCAAAAGCCAAATTTTCATTCCCTCATACTTGACTTTAGTCCTGTCAACTTTGTGGATACCGTCTGCATCAAGATTTTGAGAAACGTAAGACTGGCCTCAACTTCATTCTATTTTGACTCTTATTGTGATCTTTGTACTCAACAAAATAAGGGGTGTCTAAACGAGAAATGTTAATTTTCGCTTTTGATGCCAGATCTCTTCACGAAGCAATCATATGAAGCGCAGCAAGGTGAATATGTACTGAATGATTAACACAGAGAAGCTAACTCTACAGGATAACGCCCTTTATCTCAGCTCAATACTGTGTTTCCATAATAGCATACCCTGCATATGATTCTGATATTTAATTTTCTGTTCAATTCATCTTTAGCAGTGTCAAACTTGAGGCCAGTTCTGGAACTATGAAACAGAGCCCAGTAGGAATTAGATTCAGATGGCACAAGCAGAGTTCACTTATGGTCCTTATAGCAATTCAGAGTTAAACCACAGACCCTAAGGTGAAAGGCCACAATTCTAATCCACAATGCTGTCCATAGAATCATCAGAATTTAAACCACGTTGAACGTCTTCCCCAGCAAAGCTGTGACACTCTGACAAGCTGCACTATAGAGTAGAAACTGCCTGGCACACTGCCCATCTTGATCACTAGTCAAGCAAAGAGTACTGAGAGGATACTTTTCCAGAGACAGATTGGTAAATCCTAGAGGGGGAAAGATTAGACATTTGTGCTGTTGGTCCTGATTCAAGCCACAGTGTTCACCTATACTGCACATAATTATTCATGGAGCTTTGTCAGATCTCTTGATAGATCATCTCGTGGTTTCTGGATGTACCACATGAATGATCCATGAGAGCGCTAACCATTCACTTTCAGCATTTCTTCTCCAATATCTAAGAACAATAATCAGTGAACAATGTGAACCATCAAAGCACCAGCAGGTTTTTTCGTATTGTTACAACTCTGGCTTTTTAAAACAGATTAAAATAGAATAAATAAATTACTGTACTTTTAAGAGAAATTAAAGTTGGAGTAAGTCAGAGTATAGAAGCTGTTCTCATTTATTTTAATTATTTCTTAGATTTTGAGAAAGACCAACTTTGCAAAATAAATTGTTTCTCAGGTAAAATTGCACAACTCCTTGGGACAACGAAGTGCTGAGGTGGCACAATGTGGGTTCATGTCATGTTTGCTTGGACAGTGAGGTACCAATCTCCCCAGGCCTGGTATGGGAAACAACCTGAGGCTCCAAAGACAATAAAACCAGGAAAGTGTCTGAAAATAACTTCAAGAAAGACCTGCCAGAAAAAGTCTCACCAAAATATTTTTGAAGAATGTGCTTGACTTCTGGATGGAATTTCTAAGAGGGACAAGTCATTGAGCATTTTCTTCCCTCCAGAAAATATTTAGGAACAAGTGTTTCCAAATTGTAAAGCAAAAATGCTGATAAAGTCAAGCTTCCCCATTTGAAAGGATTATTTTTACCTTTCAAACTTTTGCTCTGTAGAAATAATCAAAGCAATTTCAAAGGTTGAAAGGTAAAGTCATCACATCCTGCTCTCTCATTACAGAGAGATTACCGGTGGTGAGTTTAACCTGATGCCTCAGGCGAGGGCAAGGCAGAGAAGGCAGGAATTTCATGGGAACCTCAAACCACACTGTTGGTGTCAGTCCGCACTGCAAAACAGCCACTCACCAAACTGAGCTAACTGACCCCTTAGTTTCAGAAAATAGTGCAATACAAAAGAAAGTCATTGTGCCCATCAAATCTGCACTAGATTTTTCAAAGACCAATTGAGATGGTCCCATATTGAGTTCCTCTCTCTTGGCCCTGCAAACATTTTCTTTTTAATTTTTTGAAGAATATATTTAATCCCTTTAGAAAGATTCTGTTGAATGCATTTCTGGCACCTTATCACACACTGTATTCAGATCCTAGCCATTCATTGTGTAAAACAATTTTTACACAAGGTGTAGGAGGAAGGAAGTCCTTGCTTCCTTTGCCAGTCATCTTAAATCTATGCCCACTAGTTGGCGATCCTTCAGCTTTCAAAACAGTTTCTCTTTATTTCCCCCATTTAAAATCTTCATGATTTTAAACACCTCTATCAAATTTCTCTTAGTCATCTCTGCTCCAGGTTCATCGGTCTAATTCCTCATCCCTGGAACTATTCCAGTAAATCTCTTCAGTAATCTTTTTAAAACCTACATACTTTTCCTAAATTGTGAGTGCAGAATTGGATAATAATCCTGTTGGAGCCAAAATAAAACAAATACAAAAAGCTGGACGTACTCAGGAATGTAGTTCTAACTATTTGGTTTGATTGTGGAATTTGCGTGCAGGGTGATTGACCTGCTGAGCTCAAGAGGCTTTACTTTGCTGTTTGTCGATGTGATTGAGACTTATACAGGAGCAGTGTGGGTCATATGGATCAGCAGGAATGGTTCTGAATTGCCTGGAATCTCAGTTCAAGGCAAATTTAATAAAGGTGATCAACTGGGCCAGAAGGTTGAGCTACACCTTTGCCAGTACATTTAATCTGGTGTTACTCACTTGTTGGTGGCCTGGTAAATCTGGGTCCACAGAATCCTCTACTTGTATTTCCACACACACCAATCAATGTATATAGCATTCACTCAGTTCCCCTCCACCCCCAGCCCCACTGACATCATTAAAATCATCAGCTCGAGATACAGTTTGAACCCACGTCCTGGCACTCCATAACCGTTGTATACTAAATCCCTAGTCCTTTGGTGCACCTGTTTGCCTGTCCTGCTACAATCACACATATTAAATACGGTTGAAATCTTTCACAGAAGTGAAATGTTTGGTGTCTATCGAAAAAATGTCAAAGTGTTTTAGGTGCAATAGGTAAAAGAAACCCCTCTGCAAATATCCTAGCAAATGTTTATGAGGTGATTCAGCACTGTGTACTTATGACACAATTCTAATTCTATTTTAAAGCTTGATGGTTCGATTTCGTTGCTGTTCTTGATGATTATGTCATGATACAATAAGACAACTTTTATTTAACACGCCCATACAAACCATGTTGACAACTTGCATTCTTTTAATTTCTGTACTTCCCTGGTTTAGTGTTTTTGTTTTAATAAGGCAAAACTACTTCTATTCTGTTCTTTTTGGTTAGTGGTCACTTAGGTTGTCTTAACAATCCTCTCTACAGAAGGCTTCACTGTATGTATGTGGATGCAGAAGGATGTAATTCCCTGCTCCAGAAGACAGTGCAGACTTCGTCATTGAGTATGTTAAAACAGATTGATAGATTTCTACATATTAAAAATACCAAGGGATGCAGGGGTATGGGTATTTGAAGTAGGTCAGTGTGACCTCATTTAACAGTGGAGCAAGTGCAAAGGGCTGATGGCGTAACCTTGCTCATGTTTTTTTATTTGTCATTTTTTATGTCATTTTCTGAAGAAGGGTCTAGGCCCGAAACATCAGCCTTCCTGCTCCTCTAATGCTGCTTGGCCTGCTGTGTTCATCCAGCTCTACACCTTGTTATCTCAGATTCTCCAGCATCTGCAGTTCCTACTATCTCATGTTTTTTTATGTTACTTTATGCCTGCCCAACATTTCCCACATTTGGGTCATTTTGAGCACTATGCCACATTTTCAATCACGCCCACTAAGCCTTCTTTTTCAGGGTCTTAGCTTCAGCCCTCAGCTCCCCTGCTCTGTTCACACAATCTCTCTGTCATAATCACTGTTAATGTACATAGGTCAGGTCCCATAAAGCTGTTGATTTGTTAGATGTGGGGGAAACTTTGTGAAGCAACCGGTAATGTGTAGAATACTGCCTCAGGAAGGATGTTGTGAAACTAAAAAGGGTTTAGAAAATATTTACAAGAATGTTGCCGGGACTGGAGGGTTTGAGTTTTAAGAAGAGGCTGGATAGGCTGGGAACTTTTTCACTTGAGCATCGGAGGCTGAGGGGTGATCTTATTGAGGTTTATAAAATCATGATGGGCATGGATAGAGTGAATAGCCAAGGTCTTTGTTGTAGGGTAGGAGAGTCCAAAACTAGAGTGCATAGGTTTAAGGTGAGAGGGGAAAGATATAAAAGGGACCTAAGGGGCAACTTTTGCACACAGAGGATGGTCCATCTATGGAACGAGCTGCCAGAGGAAGTGGTAAAGATGGGTACAATTACAAAGACACTTGGACAGATCCATGAATAGGGAAAGTTTAGAGAAATATGGGTCAAGTGCAGGCAAATGGGACTAGTTCAGTTTAGGGTACTTGGTTGGCATGGATGAGTTGGACCAAAGAGTTTGTTTCCGTGCTGTATGATTCAATGACTCTATGTGAAAGTTTAGAAACATCTCTGGAGCAATAAAGGTAGTGTTTTAGCTCATGGCCTTAAATCAGAACTGATTAAAAGTTAAAATGTAATAGCTTTTAAGTAGGTACGGTGAGGAAGGATGGAAAAAGTTAAAAAAGGAAGATCTGTGATAGGATGGAAGATGGAAGACATTAAATGATGAAAGATTTGGTGAGACAGGGCCAAAGGGAGTATAATGGGACAAAAAATAAACAAGTAATGAGTCCAGAGGAGGTGTGACTGGCAAAGTAATTTCCAATTGCTGATCAAAAGCAAAAACATGAAAAATGAGATTGGGACTGAAATATGCAAAGTAGAAGATACAAAATGGTGCGACTGGCAGAGGTTATGTTCTGAAGATGTTAAACTCAGTGTTGAGTTTGGAAGGTGAATTCACAGGTGAGATGGTGTTCCTCAAATAGTGCTGAGCTTCATTGGAAAACTACAGAAGGCTAAGGACAGAGATGAGTCAATGTGAGGAGAAATGTGGAGAATTAAATGGCATCCAATTGGAAGCTCGAGGTTATGCTTATGGACCGTACAGAGATATTCTGCAAAGTGGTCACCTAGTCTGCACTTGGTCTTCCTGATGTGGCAAAGACAGCATTGTGAACAGCAAATGCAATGTACAAAATTGAATGAAGTGCAGGTAAATTGCTCTTTACCTGGAAGGAATGTTTTGGACCTTGGATGTCAAAGAGAGGGATAGTTGAGGGGAAAGTGTGCAGTTCTTATGCTTGCATCAGGCTGAATTACTGCTTGTTTTTAGATTAGCACAACTTCCTGACTTTCAACTTTTATACTTCTGTATAAAAACCTCCATGCTTTATTGAGCATTCCATTAACTGGCTTTGCAATTCAATGCTTTTATATTCCAGATCTTCCGGGATTATAAAGAAATTGAGATTGACGTGTACCTATCAGGTTGTCACTGTAAGTAAGATACACCATTTTAAATGGGATGTATTTGTTCATCTAACATGATACTGTTGCCCTGTTGCTCTGTGACCTGGAACTTTAAGGATATAATATGACAGATTTTGCCTTCCATTCAATCCACACCTTTTGTTTATAACACCGGCTTGGCTAGTAAATATGAATCTGAATGTGGAAACAAGACATGGGATAATTTTAACCTAATCTGCCAATGGTAAACTGACTAAGTCAGATTGAAAACCATTATACAACATTTCCAATACACTCCACTGATATCAATGAGATGGAAATCGAGCTGTGAATAAAACAAGCACTGCATCCAATTCTATCTGATTCCTGATGGAACAATTACCTACAAGGAGTCCAAAAGTCTCTTGGGTTCAATTGGTGTCAGTTTTATGGATCTCAGCCCTGTCAGCACTCAAAGGGGGCCTCAATGATTCTGGTTTGCAACTCCGGATGCATTGTACTGTGGTTGACTCTAACTACCGTCTGCAAGCCATTCAGTTGAAGTAGAGTCATAGAATCCATACAGTGTGGAAGCAGGCCATTCAGCCCTTCGAGTCCACACTGACCCTCCGAAGAGCATCCAAACCAGACCCACCTTATTCCTATAATCCTACATTTCCCATGGCTAATTCACTAAGCCTGCACGCCCGTGGACATTATGGGCAATTTAGCATGGCTAATCCACCTTTCCCACCTTTGGAGGAAACCAGAGCACTCAGAGGAAACCCGCACAGACAATTGGAGAATGTCTGTACTCCACACAGACAGTTACCTGAAGGTAGAATCAAACTCAGGTCCTTGGCACTGTGCCATCCAGTTCTAAGGAAACTAGGAATGGCCAACACATGCTAGCCTTGCCAGCATCACCCACACCCCATGAATAATTCTAGACCACTTGAATTAATTGAATTTCACTTCTTTTAGGGGCTATCATTGAGCAATTTGAACAAGGAGAATTCTTTGGGAAAAACATCAGCAAATCCCAGATTTTTACCACGGTGCACGATGCTGTTCTATACTGTATGATGAAAAATAACCCATCGACTGATCAGGCACTTCACATGGTCTGTCACTTTCATTTTTTAAATATTTTACTGTTATATTACTCTACATTTTTATTCATAGGGGCCCGTTTACCAGGACATTACTAGGTTTATGCTGGACACTCTTGAGTGCAATGAACAAATTGCAGGCAAGGCATGTGATTAGTGAGAATAATTCTTTTCTCATACCTCCCTGTGGCCTCACAATTAGAGTACTGGACAGGTTTCCAATATGTAATATGGTGAAGTGTCACTCTTAAAGAAAGCTCTGGTTTAGGAATACACAAGGTCATAAAACTACGTGCTGCCAGAGATGGAGTCAAGTTGTACAGAAAAATGTTCATGAACAGCTGGAACTATTGAAATGTCATCCCAATAGGATAGAGATTATGTGTTGGGGGAATAGCAAACAGGAATAGATGATGCAGAATGTAAGTTTAGAGAGGAGCAATTGAACCCTCCAGTGCAGAGTGCAGTTAACATCAGTACAAACGCTGAAATGTAAATGTTGGGAATTGTGGCATTACTCACTTGACTGTTATCTACATAATTATTCATATGTCCTCCTTCTTATTCCTGGCCTCTATGAAGCAATGGATTGGGCAGAGAATTCATGCAGAACACATCATGGTTTCATCAATGAGAGAAGGCTATAAAAATTGTTAACAGAGGGAAAGTTCTTACTGATGCAATTCACACTGATGCAATTTAACTTCCAACCCATACTACTGCAATGGCTAGATGTTTTCCCAAAAACAGTGGAGCAATTTTTCATTTTCACTACATTATGATAAGCTGGTGAAGTTGCCCAATTATTGATCAGTGCATTAAGTATAGGATTTGGGAGGTCATATTGCAACTGTGCAGGGCATTGGTTAGACCATTTTGGAATACTGTGTGCAATTGTAGTCTCCCTCCTACAGGAAGGATGTTGTGAAACTTTAAAGGGTTCAGAAAAGATTTACCAGGATGTTGCCAGAGTTGGAGGGTTTGAGCTATACAGAGAGGCTGAAAAGGCTGGGGCTATTTTCCCTGGAGTGTCAGAGGCTGAGGGGTGATGTTATGGAAGGTTATAAAATCATGAGGAGCATGGATAAGGTAAATAGACAAGGTCCCCCCCAGGGTGGGGGAATCCAAAACGAGAGGGTTAAGGTGACAGGGGAAAAATTTAAAAGGGGCATAAGGGGCAACAGTTTCACACACATGGTGGTGTGTGTATGGAATGAGCTGCCAGATAAAGTGGCGGAGGCTGGTACAATTACAACATTTAAAACATATATAAAACATAAAACAACATATATGAATAGGAAGAGTTTAGAGGGATATGGGCTAAATGCTGGCAAATGGGACTAGATTAATTTAGGATATCTGGTCGGCATGGATGAGTTGGACCAAAGGGTCTGTTTCCATGCTGAACAGCTCCGTGACTATGAATCTACATTGGATCGGTCCGATTTTCAGTCCATTGGCAGGAAGGGACCAAAACTCCAGCACTTGCACGCTCAGCAAATTACTGTCCATGCCGTGAAGTTTAAAATGTGTCCCATCAATGTTGCATTTCAGCCATAATAATACAATACCAATCCAAAATGGTTTCACTCAATCTCCAACAGAATGTGTTAAGGAACCATCAGTAACTTTGACATTTAGTTACCTGAGCAGATTGTAGAGTGAGCTCCTGTTCAGCTGTCATACCTTCAAGGGAGAAGGGCTAAGCCAAATCCAGACAGGGTCTATAAAGAAGAAGCAATTTAAGGAAATTTAACCAATGATCACTTTGTGAGATGGTTCAGCTCAGTTAGTAGCTGATGGTCATGTATTCAAGTTTAACTTCAGTGCATAATCATCCTTGACATTTCAGCACACTAGTGAGGCAGTGTTGCATTGTGTGGGATATTGTCCTTAAAAGAAGAATTAAAGGGTGCCCCTTCCTTTTTGCTCCAGTTGTTCAAATGAGTGTGAAGAAACAATCCACAGAAACACAGTACAGAAGTAGGCCATTCAGGACTTGAGCAAAAAAGAACAAATAGCTCTTCAGGGGTCAGGCCAACATTTCCTCCCTCAACCAACACCAAGAATAAATTAAACAGCTACTTCTGCTTTTCATCAGCATTGAAATAGATCCATATCCACAGAATCCCCACAGTGTGGAAACAGGCCATTCAGCCTATCCAGTCCACACCGACTCTCCAAACAGCATCTCCCCCATTCTATCCCTGTAACCTTGCATATCCCTTGGTTTATCCACCTAGACAGCACATCCCTGGACACTATGGGCAATTTAGCATGGCCAATCAACCTAATTGGCATTTCTTTGGACTGTGGGAGGAAGCCAGAGTACCCAGAGGAAACCCACATAGACACGGGGAGAATGTGCAAACTCTACACAGACAGTTGCTTGAGGCTGGAATTGAAACCAGGTTCATGGTGCTGTAAAGCAGCAGTGCTCAGCACTGAGCCGCTGTACCACCCATGGTTGCTTGGTTTGCCTGAATTACAGCCCACCGCATGACTCACCTCTATTAATACTGGAAATGGAATAAAATGGGGGCTCAGGATTCATATTTTGTAATACTTTAGCTTTCCACCAAAACTCATAGCCTCAAAATAAGGGGGTGCAGATTTAGGACGAAGCTGAGGAGGAACTTCTTCTCCCAAAAGATTATGAATCTGTGGAATTCCCTGCCCACTGAAGCAGTTGAGGCTACCTCGTTGAATGATTTTAAGGCAAAGATAGATAGATTTTTGAACAGTGAAAGAATTAAGGTTTATGGTGAACGGGCTGGTAAATGGAGCTGAATCCACAGAAAGATCAGCCATGATCTTATTGAATGGCAAGGCAGGTTTGAGGGACCAGATGGTTTACTCCTGCTCCAATTTCTTATGTTTTTATGCCGTCACCCATCCGTTTTTGGGCTGTGGGGGAGGGCGGGGAGCTGTTGAAATCCTGCAAATACTCAGCACGCAAAGCAGAAAGTACTAAAAAGGCAACACTTGTAATTGAGGAGAAATGTGTGGACCAACTTTCACTTCAGGTGAAATGCAGTGAACGCACTGCCTTATGTTTCTGTGTCAGTTACTTGTCATTGTAAGGTGGAGGAAGCAATGGTTGAGGAGTGCCCTGTCAACCTAGTGCCAAAAATACAAGACAAAACTGACAGTCATGTAGCCTGAACATAATTATTGTACTTCAGAAGCAGCTCATTGCAAAACACTATGGGATGACCTGGGTGAATGATAATCTTTACATTCTTTCTCTTTCTCTTTTCCCATTTCTTTCACCGTCATGTACTTCCTGAAGGTCATACAACAGTGATCTGGCAGATACCTGGGAGCAAGTTTCCTGTCTTCTCTCTTTGGCCACAGGACAGATTGAAGACAAGAGCATGTTCTGAAAATGTGCTGGATTTACTTGTAAAAGGGTAAACTGTTCCCAATGTTCACGGTTTTGTTGTAACATTTTGACCTCTTCTCCATAGAATGGAACAGTTGCACTGCCTCCTTCACAGGATGACGAACAAGAATCCACCCTTGCCTGTGTAAGAAACTTATTTTTTAAATTTAATGTTTAAATGTTGCTTAAAGTTAATGAATCTGAATTACCTCTGGAGAGCACAGGAAAAATCATTCTGCTTCACTAGATTCTTGGCTAGCATTGCAAAACTTGCCATGTGGACCATAAACACAAAAAAACTTGTTTCAACACAATAGCCTAGATTTTATAGTTCAGTGCTACCAGCGTATGCTATGAGTGAGGGTCAGAAAGTGTCAAGCTCCCTGCTCACAATAGGTAGAAAATGATGCAGACTCCAGGATGAGGAACCTCCTGATCCCTGGGCCAATCAGTCCCAAAAAAGGGCAAACATACAGGAAAAGAAATCATAGTGAATGCAAAATCCTGTTTGTCAACAGGGAGAAAAGTGGACCCCAGTAACACAAGAGAAACCTACAAATTGGGGTTTCTCTGTAATGCTGGGGAGTTTTTAACTCTACGGCCCACATATGCTGTCTCTGCCAGCATCGAGGTTAAACTCAACCTCCTCTTGGAAAATAAGTCAGGGCGAGTGACAGTCTTCATGGGAGGGCACTTTGGGACCAGTGACCATAATTCCATTGGTTTCAAAATAGTTATAGAAAAGGATAGGCCTCGTCCACAAGTTAAAGTTCTAAACTGGGCAAGGCCAATTTTAATAGTATTAGACAAGAACTTTCAAAAGTTGATTGGAGGAGGCTGTTTGCAAGTAAAGGCACGGCTGGCAAATGGGAGGCTTTCAAAAGCGAGGTAACAAGAATTCAGGGACAGAATGTTCCATTGGTGTGAAGTGCAAGGCTGGCAGGCGTAGGGAATGCTGGATGATTTTGGATATCAAGGCTCCAGTCAAGAGAAAGAAGGAAACATATGTCAGGTAAAGACAGCTGGGATCAAGTGAATCCCTTGAGCAGTATAGGGGGTGTAGGAGTACACTTAAGAAGGAAATCAGGAGAGCAAAAAGGGGACATAGGATAGCTTTGGCAGAGAAGGTTAAGGAGAATCCAAAGAGATCCGATGGGGATACCTCTGTATGGAACCATAGGAGATAGGTGAGATCCTAAATAAATATTTCAATATTTACTGTGGAGAAAGACAGGGGAAGCTAGGGAACATGGGAAAATAAATAGTAATGTCTTGAAAAGTGTCCACATTATAGAAGAAGAACTGCTGGAGGTCTTTAAGACACACAAAGATGGATAAATCCGCAGGGCCTGATCAAGCGTATCCCATTGGAATGCTAGGGAAAAAATTGTGGGGCTCCTAACACAGATAGTTGTATCATCAACAGCCATGGGGAAGGTGCCAATAGACTTGGAGGGTGGCTAATACTGTGCCATCATTTAAGAAAGGCCACAAGGAAAAGCCAGGGAACTACAGACTGGTGAGCCTGACGTCAGTGGTTGGTAAGTAGTTGTAAGGATTTCTGAGACACAAGATCTATATGCATTTGGAAAGGCAAGGGCTGATTAGGGTTAGTCAGCATGGGTCTGTGCATGGGAAATCGTGTCTCACAAACTTGACTGAATTTTTTGAAGATTGATGAAGGCACAGTGGTAGATATTGTCTACACAGATTTTAGCAAGGCCTTCAACAAGGTTTCTCATGGTAGACCGGTTAGTAAGGTTAGATCACATGGGATACAGGGAGAACAAGCCAAGTTGATACAAAATTGGCTTGAAGATAGGAGACAGATGGTCATGGTAGAGGGTTGTTGTCCAGACTGAAGACCTGTGATCAGTGGTGTGCTGCAAAAATTATTGGTGTCCACTATTGTCTTTCATTTAAATGAACAATTTGGGTGACAATATAGGAGGCAATATTAGTAAATTTTCAGATGACACCAGAATTGGTGGGAGGGCCCTGGGGAGTATTGTTGAGACAGAGAGACCTAGGGGTGCAGGTACATAGTGGCTTGAAAGTGGCATCAAAGGTAGATAGGGTGGTGCTTGCTTTTATCGGGCGTTGCACTGAGTATAAGATTTGGAATTTCATGTTACAGCTGTACAAGACATTGGTTAGGCCACTTTTGGAGTACTGCACACTATTCTGGTTGCCTGCTATAGAAAGGATGCTATTAAACTGGATGGGGTGCAAAAATGATTTACAAGAATGTGACCAAGACTGGAGGGTTTGAGTTATAAGGAGAGGCTGGATAGGCTGCAATGTTTTTCCCTGCCGCTGAGGAGGCTGAGGGGTGATCCTGGAGAGGTTTAGGAAATCATGAGGGATATAGATAACGTGAATAGCCATGGTCTTTTCCTTGGAATAGTGGAGTCCAAAAATAGAGGGCATAGGTTTAAGGTGAGAGGGGAAAGATTTAAAAGGGACCTGAGGGGCAACCTTTTCACACAGAGGATGGTGCATGCATGGAATAAGCCATCAGAGGAATTGGTAAAGTTGGGTATAATTACGACATTTAAAAGACATTTGGATAGGTACATGGATAGGAAAGGTTTAGAGGGATATGGGCCAAAGCAGGCAAACGGGACTAGTTCAGTTTAGGAACCTTGGTTGGCATGGATGTGTTGGGCCAAAGGGTCTGTTTCCATGCTGTATGACTCTACCCCCCACCCAAAGTCAGGGTTGGCCTGCTTCAGGACATGGGAGCCTGAAGATCAGGCCATAGCAGCTAGCTTGAATTGGGGCAGGAGAGAAACTGGGGTCTAGGATCTGCTCCAAGGAATGGAGACTTCCAAGCCCTCGAGGTGATGCTGGTGGTATCCAATTCCAGCAGAGACAGTCCAGTTCCTGGGCGGATCAAATTCGAGGAGGATGGTAGGGGAGGTGCATCAGAAAATAGAGACCCGAAGGGTCAAAGACCAGGGTGAATGGGTGGGATCAGGGATGATATCAGAAAGCTTGGCATTGAGGGGATGTGTGTAAATCTTTGATGGGGAGATTGGTGGCCTTGTGGGGATGGGGGGTCTGTGGGAGAAGATTGCAGATGGGCCAGATTTGAAAGTTTAAGGGTAGTCATGTCAAAATGGGGTGACAGGCAGGTAAACTGGGTGCAGTGGATGAATGCAATAGCCTTTAATAAGGAGTGAGATTTTCTGAGGCCCAGCAGGCATTAAATTTGAAATGGCAAAACAATAAGTAGCAGCTGGCCTGATTATAATGTTTAAATTGTCAACCCACTTTCTGGGAGTTGCTGCGTCACCCACCCTGTTCCTCCTCGGTTAAAAGGGGCAATTGGAGGCAGGTCAAGGGTCAAGATTCAAATTTGTAACATGTTCACCTTCATCATCACTTTAACATCACCTGTCCTCCTCCCCAATAAATTGTCCCTCAGATATTCAGTTTGCAAATTAGTAGGACTGCAAATGCAACATCTTTCAACATGGTGCTGAAACAGAAGTTTCTGGAAAACCTCAGCAGGTCTGACAACATCTGTGAAGAAAAAATCAGAGTTAATGTTTCGGGTCCAGTGACCCTTCCTCAGGACTGAACAGAACTATTCTGAGGAAGGGTCACCGGACCCAAAAGGTTAAGTCTGATTTTTTTCTTCACAGATGCTGCCAGACGTGCTGAGCTTTTCCAGCAACTTCTGTTTTTGTTCCTGATTTACAGCATCCGCAGTTCTTTCGATTTTTAATGTGTGGTGCTGCTTCAGCCTTAGTTCAAACTGTGAACGACCTGCAGTCGGTTGGGTTCTCTCAGAGTGGAATCTTATAAGAGTGTGCGTGACGGGGTTAAAGGGGAGAATTATAACAGAATCCAATGAGAAGTCCAGTGGGGCCTATCTCATTGGTGGGACCATCGCGCTCCACGGTTAATGCATATGCTGAGCAGAAAGGAAAGTTTCTCATTAGGCAGCACCAAGTAGCCAACTGACAGGGATAATAGCTTGTGGGACGCCGTAACAGCACTGCAATTCACCTTACTGACTGCTACTCACTCACGTTCTATCGTTACCAAATGCACAGAATGAGATGTGTTGAGAAAACTCAACGTGGAAATCAGGGCGGGTACTTGGCTGTGACCAGTCTCCACATCGTTCAGTACCAAATGGCATCACAGGACATGACCCACAGGCATCACCCCTTGTCCACAGGCACTGGCAGCTGACCATTATGGCACCTCTTTTAGGAACTGCCCACTCGCATTGCAGGGCACATCAATAATTAGCTTTGAAAGGCTGCGGCAAAGACAGTTATCCAGCTCATGAACTTGGCCAGTTAGCATCTCAGGGCTGATCGCCTACTCATTCACTGAGTGCCTACCTGCATGCTAACAGCATCCATGCCTTGCTTTACTATTTGCGTGCCGTGCCTATTAGCTCTGTCCCAGAGGCAGGCATCTTGCCTTGCTGGTCACGAGTCCTCAGTCAAGGGGGCATACATCTTGCTGTCCAGCATATTGCTAGATCAATCTCACACCTGCATCTGCAGCCAGCAACTTTCACATCAAAAACACAGCCAAGTAAGTAACCACGCCTCAAAGTCTCAGGGGAGTCGTTCTCAGTGAATTCCATGAAGGTACCCATCAGTCTGGATCTCCTGGCACAGTAAGTCAAGGGCAGGCTCCCATACCAGTCCGAGGGATTGGCCACAGTCAAGCACCTGGTCAGGGTGGTCTTGTTCAGGAGGTCCATGCCTCTGCAGTCCAGGAAGTAGGTCATAGTCGCTCCTGTAGCTACATAGCAGCCAGTCTGGAGTAGTGCTAATGTAGGCTGGAGAAAGACAGACATCAGTCAGAAGGCTGGGAACTTCTCATGATTGCCATGGAAGGAAGGTATTGATACTCTGAAATAGATAAACTCAATGTTGTGTCCTGAAGGTGATAACGTAATTAAGCTATTGACTATCTAGCTCTTGACTATCACCTATCTAGTTTCAGTTTTTCCCTGGCTTACACTCAACAATACCTTTGTCTGTCTGCCCTTTCTTCTCTCTCCCTCTCTCTCTGGGCTCCGTCCCCACTCCTTTACCCCACCCAACCATCATCACCAACATAAATACCATTTTTTCTAAGCTGCTTTCAATTCTGAAGAAGGGTCACTGGACTCAAAATGGAAACTCTGCTTTCTCTCCATGGGTACTGCCATTCTCCTGTAATTTCTGTTTATTCCCTCCGAATGTATCCATCCCTAAGAGTCACATTATTTTTGCCTTCCCATTGTACGATTTCAGCCTATTCTATGTCGTGCTATAAATGTAACTTTTGAGAAAGAAGGAACATAATTGATACTGTATATTCCCACAATTAAGTTCGTACTGTTTGGTGCATGCAATACTGACACCTACTGGTAACTTTGATAGTAACCTTGATTCATTCAGTCTTACCTGATTGTGATATCAGAATAAATGCTCATGTAAATGATGCACATCCAAAGTGATCTTTAAAAGGACTTGGGGTGAAATAAAAGCTGCTGAAGCAATCATTTGTCAAATCCAGATTTCACACCAAATGATTCTCATTTAATCTCCTCCCTCTGCAAATGTGAGCTCATTCAAAGTGCTGCTGCCTGTACCTTCTCCTATAGGGAAGCCCAATTCAACCATGACCCCCTTGTCCTCACTAACCTGTCCACTGGCCCTCTAAGACTTCCAATTCTGTCATGTCCTCCAACATCAATCCCCTCATTTTTTGCTGCCTCTACCACTAATGTACTCTACACTTATCAAAATTCAGCCTCCTGTATATCCCCCACTTCCATCACCGGCAACTGTGCCTATGACCATTTTGAATCCACTTCATTGGAATTCTCTAATCATGCTCTTCAATTTCCTCTCCTCCTTTCACATCTGTTTGATAAAGATTTTTGTCACTTCCTACAAACGTCTCCTTTAGTTTGACATCCAGTTTCCTTACTCCATAATCTAGTACCTTGGAGAACTTGGTTTTGTGTTGTGGGAATGTTGATGAGGTAGATACGGCTAGGGAGCTGAAGGTGAAGGAACCCCTAGGGGACAGTGACCATAATATGATTGAATTTTTTTTATTCATTCACGGGATGAGGGTATCGCTGGCTAGGCAGCATTTATTGCCCGTCCCTAATTGCCCAGGGGGCAGTTAGGAGTCAACCACATTGCTGTAGGTCTGGAGTCACATGTAGGCCAGACCAGGTAAGGATGGCAGTTTCCTTCCCCAAAGGACATTAGTGAACCAGATGGGTTTTTCCAACAATTGACAATGGATTCACGGTCATCATTAGACTGTTAATTCCAGATATTTATGGAGTTCAAATCCACCATCTGCCATGGCGGGATTCGAACCCAGGTCGCCAGAACATTTTCTGGGTCTCTGGATTAGCAGTCCAGCGATAATACGACTAGGCCATCACCTTCACCAATTCACCATTTCACCCTGCAGTTTGAGAGGGAGAAGCTTGAATCAGATGTGACGGTATTACAGCTGTGTAAAGTTAACTACAAAGACGTGAGGGAGGAGCTGGCCAGAGTTGATTGGAAGGGGAGCCTAGCAGGGAAGATGCTGGAGTAGCAATGACAGGAGTTTCTGTGGTTATTTGGGAGGCACGGCAGAAATTCATCCCAAGGAAGAAAACTCATACTAAGGGGAGGATGAGGCAACCATAATTGACAAGGGAAGTCAGGGACAGCATAAAAACAAAAGAAAAAGCATACAATGTGGTGAAGATTAGTGGGAAGCCAGAAGACTGGGAAGATTTTAAAACCAACTGATTATAATTGAAAAAGCAATGAAGGGATAAAGGATGAAATATGAGAGTTAGCTAGCTCGTGATATAAAAATAGATTGCAAGAGTTTTTTTTATACATCTAAAAGGTAAAAGAGATGCAAAAGTGGACGCTGGAAAATGAGGCTGGAGAAGTAGTAATGGGGATCAAAGAAATGATGGAGGAACTGTACAGGTACTTTGCAACAGTTTTTACAGTGGAAGAGACCTGCAGCATACTAGAACTTCAAGACAGTTAGAGGCAGAGGTGACTGTACTGAGCATCACTAAGGAGAAGATGCTGGGGAAGCTAAAATGTCTGATGGCAGAGAAATCGCCCAGACCAGATGCAGTACACACCAGAGTTCTGAAGGAGGTAGCTGCAGAGGTTGTAGAGGCAATGATGGTGATATTTCAGGAATCACTAGAGTCAGGGAGGGTCCCAGAGAACTGGAAAATGGCTAACGTAACTCCCCTGTTTAAGGAAGGGAACCAGAAGACAGGAAACAATAGGCCAGTTACCCTGACCTCAATTGTTGGTAAAATTTTAAGAGTCCATTATTAAAGATGAGATTATGAAGTACTTGGAAGAGAATGGTAAAATAGGGCAGAGTTAGCAAGGGGAGGTCATGCCTGATCTGTTAGTATTCTTTGAGGAGGTAATGAACAAGTTAGACAAAGAAGAGTCAGTGGACATGATCGATGTGGATTTCCAGAAGGCTTTTGACGAGGTGCTACACAGGAGGCTGTTAAATCAGACAAGACCATGGTGTTAGGAGCAAAGTATTGTCATGGATGGAGGATTGGCCGATAGGCAAAAGGCAGAGAGTAAGGACAAAGAGTTCTTTTTCAGGATGGTAGCCCATGACAAGTGGAATTCCACACAGGTCAATGTTGGGACCACAACTAATCACGTTATACATTAGCAATCTGGATGAAGAGCATTGTTGCTAAGTTTTCAGATGGCACAAAGATAGATGGAGGGACAAGTATTGTTAAGGAAGCAAGGAAGCTGCAGAAAGACTTGGCCCAAGTTAGGCAAGTGGGCAAAGAAGTGGCAGATGGAGTACAATATGGGAAAGTGTGAGGTTATGCAATTTGGTAGAACAAATAGAGTTGTAGTTTATTTTCTAAACAGGAAAAAGCTTCAGAAATCTGAATCACAAAGGGACTTGGGAGTCACAGTTCAGGATTCTCTTAAGGTTAACACGCAGGTCCAGTTAGCAGTTGGGAAGTCAAATGCAATGTTAGCATTCATTTCAAGAGGGCAAGAATACAACATCCGAGATTTACTGTTGCGGATATAAAAGGCTCTGGTCAGACCGCTCTTCTTTATTCATTCACAGGATGAGGCATAGCTGGCTGGACCAGCATTTATTGCTCATCCCGTTTGGAATATAGTAAGTAGTTTTGGGCCCTATATCTAGGGAAGCATGTGCTGGCATTGTAAGGAGTCCAGAAGAGATTGACAAGAATGATCCCAGGAATGAAGGGCTTATCCTATGAGGAGCGGTTGAGAACTCTGGGTCTGTACTCAATTGTGTTTAGAAGGATGAGGGAGAGGTTCTGATTGAAACTTACAGAATACTGAGAGGCCTGGATAGAGTGGACATGGAGAAAATCTTTCCATGAGTAGGAAACACTAGGACTCAAGGGCACAGCCACAGAGTGAAGGGACAACCTTTACAACTGAGATGAGGAGAATTTCCTGAGCCAGAAGGTAGTTAATCTGTGCAACTCAATGCCACAAAAAGCTGTGGAGGCCAATTCATTGAGTGTACTTAAGACAAGGATAGATAGGTTCTTTATTGGTTACAGGGAGAAGGCACAAGAATGAGATTGAGAAACGATTCAACCATGATTGAATAGCAGAACAGACTCGATGAGCTGAATGGCCCAATTCAGCTGTTATATCATATAGTCTTGTAATGTAATCATTATTATTGTGATAGTTGATGCAGATTAGAATTCTGATTTAGATATTAAAAGAAAAAAAAAACATGGAAATTATAAATACCAAATCTATTTTCTTCTTTTTGGCTTTTTAGGCAGTAAATACACAGTTTTAATTCAGGAAGATTGGTGCTGGAATAGAAAACATGCATCCTTTTGAAGGAAAAATTAAAACCAGAAGAAAACAGCATGTCAAAAATAAATCTCCAAAGGGCAAGTTTTAACTTTCTCCAGTGTCCTGCATGAAGCAAAATGAGACAAGACTTGGAGTTAATTATGAAAAATCTATCTCAACGTAAATACTGACAAATCCCATACTGTGCATAAAGTTACAAACTAGGGAGGTTTCAAACACTTCACATCTGGGACTTAAGCAGTCAACACCAAAAGGGTGACAGTCCTAGCTCCATTTCTCCTTCATTCTTCTTTCTATCACTTCACTGCCTTTCTCTCTCTGAACCTTTTTGACAGAAAATTTTGATTTGAATAAGCACTACAAACACAGCCTGGTAGTGTTTTTGCCTTGTAACTTTGATTAATTTTTGTCAGTCAGTATTTGTCTCACTAGTGCTCCCCTCGCATTCATATTGCTGCAATTGATTGATATATTCAGGTGGGTAATATATGAAACCAGCAATATTATAAAAAAAACTGAAGCCCTTCCAGGAGAAGCTGTTTTTTATTATGAAGTTATGCTTCCAAAACTTCCTTAGAAAAAAGAAGGGAAAATCTGGCCTTTGACTAACCTGAGACATTGGCATTGTATGTAGGCTAGACCCGCAAGCACTTTCAACATGAGTAAACAGGAGATGTGACTACGATTAGATTAGCGAGAAAGGCAGTATCACATTAAGCAAAAAGGAAACGAAACAGTCAATATAACATGCAAAAAGCTGGAAGCTGCAGATAACACCACCAGTTGTTGATTTTACACAATGAGTTTGCCTTTGTTTTGGGTTACAGGAAATTAATCTGCCCACAAACAACACTTTAATACTCTTAGTCCATGCCAAAAGGAAAATAAAAGTCATTTGACTGTGTTACAGTCTCTAGTATTTGAATGCCATTTATAAAGAACCTCTATAAATTACAGATTGTTTTTTAAGGCTACATTGGAAACCCTTGGAGCCGTAATTTCTTTGTATTTTGCATAACCTTGAAGCTAGCACTCGGAGACAGAAAGGGCTGCAGATGCTGGAAGCTACAGTCAATAAGTGTGAAGCTGGAAAAGCACAGCAGCTCAGACAGCATCCGAGGAGCAGGAAAGTCAATGTTTCAGGCCGAAACTCTTTGTCAGGACTGAGGTTGAGGGGGAGAAGGTGGGGGGAGAAGTGGAGCCCAGAAATAAATAGGAGGGGGATGGGGCTGGGGGGACGGTAGGTGAGATGAAGATAGGTGGATGCAGGTAGAGGGTTATTGTGGTTGGACAGTACAGTACAGTCCCTTTACACCTGTATCCTGCACAGGGATGGCCTAAAAGCCCTCCGCTTCTTTCTCTACCGTAGGCCCAACCAGTTCCCCCTCCACTGACACTCTCATTCACTTGGCAGAACTAGTCCCTACCCCCAACAATGTTTCCTTTGACTCCTCCCACTTCCTACAAACCAAAGGGGTGGCCACGGGCACCTGCCTGGGCCCGAGCAATGCCTGCCTCTTTGTAGGATTTGTGGAAGAGACAGCTTCAACAACACCAGCACCATCCCTCACCTTTTTCTCCGCTATATTGATGACTGTATCGGTGCTGCCTCATGCTCCCGTGAGGAGCTCGAACAGTTCATCAACTTTGCCAACACCACACCCTCATATTCACCTGGACTATTTCTGACATGTCCCTCCCCTCCTGGACCTCTCTGTCTCCTCCATCTCCGGTAACCAACTCACCACTGATATCCATTTCAAACCCACTGACTCCCACAATTACCTCAACTACACCTCCTCTCACCCACCGTCCTGCAAAAAGTCTATCCCATGCTCACAATTCCTCTGCCTCTGCTGCATCTGCTCTCAACATGAGGCACTCTAGGACTCCCCAGATATCCTCCTACTTCAGGGACCGTAGTTTCCCCTCCTCGCCATCTTTCCCCTCCATCCTTTTTAAGGATGCCCTCAACCGCATCTTCCCCATTTCCTGTGCTTCTGCCCTCAAATCTCGCCCCCCCAACAACAAGGATAGAGTCCCCTTAGTCCTTACATACCGCCCCACCAACCTCGGAATACAACACATCATCCTTCAACATTTCCACCACCTACAATCAGTCCCCACCAGCAAAAAGATACTCCCCTCCTTACCCCGTCTGCTTTCCGCAGGGACCGTTCACTCCACGACTCCCTTGTCAGCTCCACAGTGCCCACCAACCCCTCCACCACACCCCGTACCTTTCCCTGCAACCATAAGAGGTGCTACACCTGCCCCTACATCTCCCCCCTCACCTCCTTCCAAGGCCCTAAACAATCCTTCCAAATCTGGCAGAGATTCACCTGCACTTCATCTAACCTCATCTACAGAATCCAATGCTCCTGGGTCTCTTCTATATCAGGGAGGCCAAACGCAGACTCGGGGACCGGTTTGTGGAGCATCTCCTCTCTGCATGCACCAACAAACCCGACCTTCCGGTTGCCATCCATTTTAACTCCCCCTCCCACTCCCCTTGTGAAATGTCCATCCTTGGCCTCCTCCACTGTCAGAGTGAAGCCAAACATTAACTGAAGGAACAACACCTCATTTCGCTTTGGCCCAATGGCCTGCATATTGACTTCACCAGCTTCAAAATCTCTCGTCCTCCAACCTGTCTATCTTCTAACTCACCTATCCGCTCCACCCTTCCCACTGACCAACCACAATAACCCCCGACCTGCATCCACCTATCTCCATCTCACCTACCCATCCCCCAGCCACACCCCTCTCCTTCTATTTGTTTCTGGGCTCCCCTCTCCTTCCCCAGTCCTGACAAAGAGTTTCGGCCCAAAATATTGACTTGCCTGCTCCTCAGATGCTGTGCTTTTCCAGCTTCACATCTATTGAAGATAGCACTTAGTACTTCCACTTAGAGAGCGTTTTCCAGTTTTTAAAGTGTACTACAAAAATGTACATTTCAGAATTAATTAACCTCTTCATTTTCTTAAATTTCACATGTAATTATTTGGTAAGTTAAATTATAAATGTAGATTCTCCATTTTGTGTTCAATGTTCTGTTTGATAATGATATATCTTTGTTAACTTTTTCTTTAACCTAATAAAAATCTAAAAGAAAGAGATGTACAAAATTTGAGAACTGTTCCTAACTGATCCATATATTTTAAAGGATATGTTTTATCATTTTATTGTATTATGTTTTTGATTTTCATGTAAACCTGCAGCTACAGTCAAATTATACCTAACAGAATTCAAGTTTTGCTATTGTAATTCCCTTTTGACAACTAAACCATTTAAAAAATGACTTAATTGTGTGTTGAATTCATGTTAATTTATAAATACATGGTCTGTTCTTATGCATCAAGAACTCAACAGATCATATAAAGGTTTGGGCTGACAAAATGCCAGGTAATGACCATCTCTAATAATCTCTCTAATAAGAGAGAATCTAAACATCTCCTCTTGATATTCAATAGCATTAGTATCACTGAAACTCCAAATTTCAGCATCCTGGAGGTGACCATTGTCACTGAACTAGACTTGCCATATGAGTACTGAGGCTACAAACAGTTCAGAGGTTAGGAGTCCTGCAGCAAGTAACTTACCTCCACAATCTCTAGAGTTTGATCACAATTTACAATGCGCAAGTCACGATGAAAAGTGATGGAATACTCTCCACTTCAACAACATTCAAGAAGCTCGATGCCATCCAGGATAAATCTACCTGCTTGGTTGATACTGCATCTACCACTGACACTTAATAGCAGCAATGTGTACCATCTACAAGATGCACTGCTGAAATTTACCAAGTCTCCTTAGACAGCATCTTCCAAGCCCAAGCCCATGACTACTACCATCTAGATGTACAAGAACAGCAGATACATGGGACCACCACCAACTGCAAGTTCTCATCCAAGCCACTCACCATCCTGACTTGGACATATATTGCTATTTTTCAGTGTCACTAGGTCAAAATCCTGGAACTCCCTTCCTGACACCATTATCGATCTACCTACATGATATGGTCTGTAATGGTTCAAGAAGACAGCTCATCACCATCTTCTCAGGGGTAACTAGGGATGGGCAATAAATACAGACCCAGCCAGAGACATTCACGTCCCATGAATGAATAGATAAAAATACATTAGTCAGTGGGGAAACTGCAACCCTCAATTAAACCTGCATCTTTAATCCTAACATCCATTTCTGAAGAACTTTTTAGCAGGGTCATAATAGGTTGTATAGGAGCTGTACCTAAAACCAAGAATGGGAATTGGTATCTTTTAACAATTAAGACTGTTTCAACATGATTTCCTAAAGCAGTGCCTCTGGGGAAAATTGCTGCAAAAATGGTAAAGTGTTATGATCCTAGCTGATATTATTACTGGACAGGTCAGATCCCAGAATAAAATCTGAGTTTGTTCTTTTGTTCTTTTTATTTAAAGTGGCAGTCTTTCAATGGAACATAAACACACAAGGATGCAGGTTTAGCTTTGTAATAAACCAGACATTTCTGACACAAAAGAATGAAAATTAAAACAAATCAAGCTATCTGAATGTGAGACATTTTGAAAGATGTCAAAAAACAGCAAAACCTAATCCAATCTGCTCCCAAGCACTGTCACCTTAGAGTTACTCTAAATTTCAAAGAAATCAATCTGAATTTGAATTAATTGCTTTGTCTCAATTTTGGTCCTCTGGGCTGTGAGGCCTAATCCCTTTGATCATTCGCACAAATGAGATCTTAGGCTTTCTCGACTTTAAATAACCAATTTCCTACCAAATACTCCACAAACTGCACACTTCACTGAGATAGCTTGTTTTCTTAATTGGTGTGAACAATCCCTTTCTCTGGCAAAAACCATACTTACACTCAACTTCAATCAGCATTCAAAAGATTTGTGAACATTTTTTTAAAAATTGCTCATCCTATATTTTGCTAAGCTAATTCCCTAATGTTTTCTCCATCCAATCTTAAGTTCCCACTGTACAAATTAATTTCCATTAACACTCCAGCTGGTATACACTAGTTTTATATCATGGTTTCAGAAAGACTGACTGAAGTGATTTTTAAACCCCTCCACAATAAAAAGACCAAAAGCTATATGGCACTAAGATAAAATCCCAAACTCTAAAATAAAATTAATATAAATAAATCACGCATCTGTCATCATACCACCCCACCAAGGAAGGATAGGAAAATATCTTTAAAAGCATTTCATTTCCCATCAAAATTCCTTTTCAATACAATGTGTATGTCACAGGAACAGTAGAGAGACATATAGCACAGTATATTGACGTAAAACATGCAAGGGCTTACACAGCAACCATAATTTTCATAAGTCCATTTGAATCGCTCCACTCTTCTAATTGTTCTTGATAAAGTGCCTACTACAAACATTTCTTTGCCAGACACATGAATAATGTTTAGATTATATGGCTGGAGGATTAAGCTTCATTGAAACAATTATAAGCTCTCATCCTGAAATTTATCAGAAAAAATTCAAAGGATTGAGTTTGTAAAAATAATCGTTTCTTCCACATTGTTCGTGACATAAATCTGAAAATTATGTAGAGCCAATACAAGACATAATGTTTCCTATCCACTGCTAAATCTTTCTTTTGAATTTCTTTGAAACGTAACTGACTGGTCATTTAATCCCCATCTCATCATTTTAAAGTAAAATGGTACACACACACACACACACACACACACACACACACACACAGACACACACACACACACACACGCATGCACACACACACGCATACACACACACACGCATACACACACACAGTCACACACACGAGTATCAACAGCCAGTGTGAATAGTTTCTCATAATTCAGTGCTGCTAACACAGCTTTCAAGTTATCATCTTTCAAGTTCTTGTATCCATTCAAATTTTTTGTCTTCCTTTAATAAATTCATTAAATGGAAGCTTGTCAGTGCTGAATTTCAGAACAAGCTTCCAATAAAAACCAGTCATGCCAAATTATCACAAAATTTCACATTTTGTCCTGGGCAGGAGAAAATCTTTCACTTCTCTGGAAGATACTTGCCTTTATCCCAAAGTGAGGACCGAAATAAAACAAATTTGCTTTGACAAATTCACATTCAGCCAAATTTATAGACAAATTGGTTCTTTGTATCTGATCAAAGAGTTGAGCTAAGTGGTGCAAATATTCTTCTCAGCTTTGTCTGAAAACAACCAACGTAAACAATGAAGCATATAGCCCTTCAATTACTTTATTGGTTAATTATTGGAACATTGGCATTCATTCCAAACAGCATGGCTTTGCATTGACAAAGTCAATTTGGAGTTACAAAAGTTGAACTCTCTTTGGCTCCATCAGTCATGGAACTTGCCAATATCCTTTTAGCAAGTCAATTATGGGACAAATCATGTGTGTCCTATTCTTTCAATTCAGTCATCCAACCTTGGCGTGTATGAGGCAACTTTTGTAAATACATTGACTTTGTAATAGCCAATATAGAATCTATCCAATTTCAACACTACCACAGTTAGTGAGCTCCAGCCACTATGATTTAGTTCAATACTCTGTGTGTGTATGACTTAGTTCAATATTGATACTATCCATTATAACTTAGTCCCTTCCCTCAATTGAGCTAATTTCTCTGGATTGAGTCTGTAAATGTTTTGTTTTACAAGTAATACATTAAAATCATGAGCAGCCTACACCTGTTGTGCTGACCTATTCCCGTGAATTGGTTTAGAATTCCATGATAGCCTTTATATGTTACCATGATATTGTTCTGGAAGATAAAGCATGAAGCTATCTAACTTTTTAGGCACCCCTGTGTTTTCCAACCTAATTGTTGGGGGGGTCAACATTTGAATTTTCAATTTCTGATTCATTCTGTAATTGTTCTGATATTCCTATTTCACGCCCTACTTCTTTCACTAACATAAATACACTTTCTTCCTGACTATTGCCCCTTTCATATTTTCTTTTCAACATGGTAACATGTCACACCCATGGATGCTTTCAACATTGATTGCTCACAGTATTGAGCTTCTTTTTGATTTGATAAGGTCCAGTGAACCTTACGTTTAGTGGTTCTCCAAAGACAGTTAACAAAACTAACTTCTCCAGCAACAGAATTTCAAGCTTTCCTGAACATCCTTGTGTCTTAACTTGACTATATACTCTCTGCCTGGCTTGCTGACTTGACTTTTCTTCTATATTTGCCTGTGCATTACCCACTTTTGCACTCCACTCCACATCCTATTCCCCCGCTAAATTAGTTTAAACCCCCTCTAGCCGCACTAACAACTCCCCCTCCCACAAGGATGTTACTCCCATTGTGATTCAGGTACAATCTGTTAGACTTGTCCCACTCCCTCTAATGATCCAGGGATCTAAAACCCTCTCTCCTGCTCCAATTCTTCAGTCATGCAATCTTCCGTTCTATCCACTATTCACATACTCATGAGAATATGATACCATGGTAGTGCAGAGACTGCAACCTTTGAGATCCCGCTTTTCAATCTCCTACCTAGTACCCTAAATTTTTGTTACTAGACCTCACCCCTCTTTCTCACTATGTCATTGGTAACAATGTGAACCACTATCTCTGACTGTTCTGCGTCTCTAAGATGTGATTTTTGTCAGGTTTCATCCCTAAATAGAAATACATTGACACAGTTTTTGTTTAACCAATAAAAACTGCAAATGCTGGAGAAACTCAGTTGGTCTGGCAGCATCTTTTTTTTCCTTTATTTCATTAACAGGATGAGGGTGTCGCTGGCTAGGCAGCATTCATTGCCCATCCCAAATTGCCCAGGGGGCAGTTGAGAGTCAACCACATTGCTGTGGGTCTGGAGTTACATGTAGGCCAGACGAGGTAAGGATGGCAGCTTCCTTCCCTAAAGGATATTAGCGAACCAGATGGGGTTTTCCACCAATGGATTCATGGTCATCATCAGACTCTTAATTCCAGATATTTATTGAATTCAAATTCCACCATCTGCTGTGGCGGGATTCGAACCCAGGTCCCCTGAACATTATCTGGGTCTCTGGATTAACAATCCAGCAATAATAGGTCATCACCTCCTTTGCAGCTGTAATGTTATATTCCTCACTCTATTCAATCACCCTATGACCTTTGTATGGTATGATCTGTCTATACTGCACACAGAACTTTTCAATGTACCTATGTACATGTGACAATAATAAATCAAATCATACCACATCAAAGCATCATACCAATCTCAAAACTGGTTCTCTCTCGCAGATGCTTCCAAGCTAGCACTTTCAGATTTCCAGCATCCACTGTAGTTTGCTTATTTTCTAAACAAATCAGGCGGAGAGTCAAGAGTGCTATTTTGATAATATAATTTTTTTTCATGCGCAATAAATGAAGTCTGAGGGCTGCTGAGTCATGGAGATCTACAGCACAGAAAAACTGAAAAAGGCTCTTTAGTCGATTGGTCATAAACAGCCACCTAACTATTCTAATCCCATTTCCAACGCTTGGCTCATAGCCTTGTGTGCCTTGGCATCGCAAAGCGCACATCTAAATACTTCTTAAATGTTATGAAGGTTTCTGCTTCTACCACCCTTTTAGGCAGAGTTCCAGATCTAGTTTGAGATATAAAAAAACAATTAAAGCACTGAAAACAAAACATTCAGGACAAATTCCAGCATCTGCAGTAATTTGCTCCAACAATTTAAACCAGTCGGTTCTTAGCACTTATTGATTTTTTTTTTTCTCCTAAGCAGTTATTCACTCAACAAATCCACGATACAGACGAGCATTTCACTTCGATTTCTCACTGTATGCATTCTACCACAAAATCAGTCCCGCCTTTGAAACCCTGTCATTGGATAGAGCGGGGTCACTCGTATTTGCGAAACGGATCATGTGTCCATCAAATGGACCGGCCACCAGATTGCGCTTCTTAAGCTCCCTGAGAAACCGCTGCAAACTGGAGGAGGGATAGTGCAATTTGGAGGGTGAACATCAGCCGAACAGGAGTTCGGTTGTGGCGAGCAAACGGGAGGAATATTCCAACAAAACAAAGAGAAACCGAAACTCGTTCATCTGTGAAACTTCAACTCACAGAGCATGCAACTTTCACAAGCGTGGGCTTTGCAAGAGGCTGACGCCTAATTAATAATAATAAAAAAGGTTTGATGTAACGTTATTTTATGGTACTTAATGATAGTTGCAGAAGAAACGCATGTGGGGGGGTGTCATTTTATTTTTAAAACAGTGGGTTGCGGATTTAACATCGGAATTAGTCTGTCTTGGAACTAGATTGAATGGTAATTGTCATTGGGGTTCTTTCAAAGTGCAGATAGGAGTGACCAAGTGACAAGAGACTTAAAATGTTAACTCATTTTGCCTCCTCACAGATGCTGCCAGACCTGCTGAGTTTCCCCCGGCATTTTCTGTGCCGATTGTGCTCGTAAACAACTGAAGCAGAACTGTGTCAGAAACAAATGATGTGTTTCTAGCAAACAGATGCTATTGGAACTGATCGGTCTTTGTCTGCTTAATGTTTAGAGTTATATCCCCACACTGACACGCTTATGCAAATAGTCTCAGTGAAATTACGTGACGAATGTCTGCCTTTTACATAATTCTTCTTCTGTTTCATTCTATTTGAACAGCATGAGATTTTAAGTACAAGCAGAAGGTGAGAAGATTGATTCCATTGAAGAATTAGATGTTAATAAGTGTATCAGCCATGATCCTGATTAAAGCAGTAATCGTTCTTCTACATGCATGCATTTTGACCCTGGGACAACCACTGAAACAAGCAAGATCTCCAATTATATCCAACAAGCCATTTATAACTGTGTGGAATGCCCCTACTGCGGCCTGCCAATCCTTGTTTGGTGTTAATCTCAATCTGGAAATTTTTGACATAATTGCAAATCAAAATGACTCCTTAATTGGACAAAATATTGCCATCTTTTATGAAAATAAGCTGGGCTCTTACCCCTATTACACAGCAAGTGGAATTTCTGTAAATGGGGGTGTCCCACAGAATGCCAGTTTGAAAGACCATCTTGCAAAGGCCCAAGTGGATGTGAAAAAGCTAATACCTCTGAAAGACTTTAGCGGATTGTCGGTCATTGACTGGGAGGCTTGGAGGCCCTCCTGGATGAGGGACTGGGATCAGAAAGATATTTACCATAAAAAATCAGAAGAGCTGGTGCGAACAAAACATCCTGATTGGCCTGAGAGTCAGGTGCTCGAGCAAGCACAAACTGAATATGAACAAGCTGCCCGTGATTTTATGGCATTGACATTGAATTTGGCAAAAGGCCTTAGGCCTGGGGGCTTGTGGGGCTATTATGGCTTTCCCTGTTGCTATAACACTGTCATTTCCAAAAATTACACTGGAGAATGTCCAGCTATTGAGCTGGAGAGGAATAACCATCTGATGTGGCTCTGGAGAGAAAGCATGGCCTTGTATCCAAACATCTACCTGGACCTTAAACTTCAATCAACAGAGAATGCACACAAGTTTGTTCATTATCGAATCAAAGAGGGACTCCGCCTTGCTCAACTGGGAGCAAATCACAGCTTGCCTGTCTTTCCATACGCTCGGATTGTGTACGCCAACTCCACAGACTTCCTGACTGAGGTAATCCATATGTTTTTCAGCCTTCTATTAGGAAAGCACTTATACCAGGCATGGTTCAATGCTGCCAAGCTCCAAGTGCACTTGCCAATCAGAGAGTTAATCAGTGATGTTGTAGCCTAATAAACCTTGATAAAGTTTTTAATTAATACAGCTGGAAGAGGTATCAAGCATCCTCCATTATATTGTTATTTTACTGCTTGTGAATAGCTTGTCATTAAGTTAATGAAAATACCTTTTTAAGAAATTTGCAAAATTGTTTTCTAGTTAGATTAGGGTATAGTAGTCTTTCATAGCTTTTTAAAAAAAAAAAAATTTTAAAAACCCATCAATTACTGTCCTTGTGCCCAAAGCAGGAATTCTTAAATTTCGAAACTCCCTGAAAGTTCTAGAATCAAATACAATTAGTGGAAACTCCTACTGATGATTAATTCGATCATTTTGGGCATGGCCAGTTTTCTTTTTGGGATCTTTTTCTGGTTAAATGTTTTTAAAACTAATCCAAAGATCATGGAAAGATTTGTGCCAGACTCAATCTGCAATTAAAATTCCAGAATCTATTATACCGGTTTTGATGATATCTGGAAGTTTGCACCAAAAATAAACTGCCACTATTGATCACAAATTCCAGTCTTGCGTGTTTCTGAAAATATAATTAAAGAATCTCCAAAGGAGGTGTGTAATTGAGCCAACAGACCTAAAATGCCCTAGGTTCTCTGCAGAGAATGGTAGATTTCAGTTGGAGTCGGGACAACTGTGTTAGGTCAGAACAAGGGTTACTGTTCTTAATTGCTATCCATTGATTTTTGGGTGTACATGACCACAACTCTCCCACCATTTGGCTGTGATGCCGTCCAAAGTGAATTACCTACCAACAATCACATTCTAACTTCCATGTGAAAGTGTTTACTAATAGTTAACTATGCTAAACGGTTGAAAGACTGGAAGTGTGGTGAAAGAGAACTGGGAGCACAAGGCTGAGAGAAGTGAAGTAGGTGAATACAAACATGCTCTTTGACAAGCGGATTCATAAGCATTTGGCTTCAACATGGAAATTCAAACAAGCCACCGGAGGAGAAAACATATTCCAGGCAAACTGTTGGGCTAAGAGGCCCTGACAAGATCTAGTTCAATAACCTTGAAGTATGACCAGAATCGCAAACAGTAACAGCATCATTTTGTCTGTTCTACAATTTTTCAGATTGACTTGGTCCACACAATTGGAGAGAGTGTAGCAATGGGAGCTGCAGGGATTGTCCTTTGGGGGAACTCAGATTATGCCAAATCTCAGGTAAAACACACCCTTTGACAATTCCGCTAGAACTATAATGAACGATTACAGCACTTGCACTTTGAGCGATGTTCAGTACCTTTCTTAAAGCCTATTTTCTCGGTTTCAAACTTCATTGATCTGGTAACAGTTGGACTACTTTCTTGCATTATGTCCTCTTTTTACTGTACTGTAAATACAAGTGTCAGTTATAATAACTGCAGAACCTCCCCCACTTTACGATTAAGACAAAGCTGAGGAAAGAACTCTGGTTTAATGAAGAGTGCAGTTGAGTATGCCTGGAGCAGCACCAGGTGTACCTAAAAATGAGGTGTCAACTGTAAAGTGACAACACAGGACTACTTGCATGCCAAACAGCATAAGCAGCAAGTGATAGAACAAACTAAGTGAGCCTGCAACTATTGGATCAGATCTAGGCTATGCAGTCCTCCCGCAGCCAGTTGTGAATAGTGGTGGACAATTAAACAACTAGTAAGAGGAGACTGTACAAATTCCCACACCAACCAGCCCCAACCTCAATGATGGGGGCAGTCCAGCACATCAGGGCAACAGCCTAGGCTGAATCATTCCCAGCCAGCTACTGCCAAGTAGGCCAAGAGGACGATCCATCTTGGCTTCTCTGAGGCTTCATATTCAGCATCAAAGTATAGCGAGCAAAGTATAACTATAGCCAGTCTTCAGTCAATTTATTCACCCCATGTGATATTGAGAAATGGCTGAAGACACTGAATACTGCAGTGGTTATAAGCCCATAGTATTCTGGCAGAAGTACTAAAGACTTTTTGTCATTTATATAAAAGATTCAGATGTAAACATTGGAGGTATGCTCAGTAAGTTTGCAGATGACACCAAAATTGGAGGTGTAGTGGACAGCAAAGAAGATTACCTCAGAGTACAATGGGATCTTGATCAAATCGGCCAAAAGGAGTTCGATTTAGATAAATGTAAAGTGCTGCATTTTGGAAAGCCAAATCAGGACAGGACTTATACACTAAATGCTAAGGTCCTGGGGAGTGTCGCTGAACAAAGCGACCTCGGAATGCAGATTTGTAGTTCCTTGAAAATGGAGTCACAGGTAAACAAGGTAGTGAAGAAAGTGTTTGGTATGCTTGCATTTATTGGTCAGTGCATTGAGTATAGGCGTTGGGAGATCATGTTGCGGTTGTACAGGACACCGGAAAGGCCACTTTTGGAATACTGCATGAAATTCCAGTCTCCCTGCTATAGGAAAGATGTTGTAGAACTTGTAAGTCTTTTCTGCACCCTTTCAAGGGTGTTGCCAGCGTTGGAGGTTTGAGCTATAGGGAGAGGCTACATAGGCTGGGGCTATTTTGCCTGGAGCACCGGAGGCTGAGGGGTGACCTTTTACAGAGGTTTGTAAAATCATGAGGGGCATGGATAGGGTGAATAGAAAGGTCTTTTCCCTGGAGTGGGGGGGATCTAAAACTCGAGGGCATAGATTTAAGGTGAGAGGGGAAAGATTTAAAAGGGACCCATGGGGCAACTTTTTCGCACAGAGGGTTGTGCATGTATGGAATGACCTGACAGAAGAAGTGGTGGAGGCTGGTACAATTACAACATTTAAGAGGTATCTGGATGAGTACATGAATAGGAAGGTTTTAGGGGGATACAGGCCAAATGCTGGCAAATGGGACTAGATTCGTTTAGGATTTGGTTGACATGGACGAGTTGGACCAAAGGGTCTGTTTGAGTGCTGTACATCTCCATGACTCTGATTTCCAGAACTAGCCACACCCCCAGCCAAACTTTCTCCAGTAGAGCTACAACACTGGCATCTACCCCACAATGTGGAAAATTACTCCAGTACATCCTGCTGACAAATCTAAACCAGCTAATTACCATCCCATCAATCAATTACCATCTGATCAGTCTCAGTCATCAGCAACATGATGGAAAGTGTTATCAACAGTTCTGTTAACTGGTACCTACTCAGCAACAACTTGCTTATTGATGCCTAGTTTGGATTCAACCAGTCAGCATGTGACCTATTACATACTTGGACTGAAAAGCTGAACTTGTTGAGCTGAGAATGACCACCCTTGACAAGAAAGCATTTGCCAAAGTGTAGCATCAAGAAGTCCTGGCAAAACTGGAGTCAATGGGGATCGGAGGGAAAGCCCTTCACTAGTTGGAGTTGTACCTAACACAGAGGAAGATGGTTATGATTCTTGCAAGTCAATCATCTCCGCTCCAGGAAGTCATTGCAGGAGTTCTTAAATGTAGTGTCTTTGGCCCAACCATCTCAAACTGCTTCAATAAAAACAAAATATTGCAGATGTTAGAGATCTGAAATAAGAATAGCAAGTGCTGGAGAAACTCAGCAGGTCTGGCAGCAACTGTTAGAACAGGCAAATGTTATCATTTAACTTTGGACTGTGGAGGAAACCGGAGCACCCTGTGGAAACCCACGTAGACTCGGGAAGAAAGTACAAACTCCTCACCGACAGTCACCCAAGGCTCAAATCAAATCCGGTTCCCTGGTGCTGTGAGGCAGTAGTGCTAACCACTGAGCCACCGGACCACCCCAACCATACAAACAAGGCACGTGTGTTTTAAGATGGTTGTGGTTGTAATTAAAATAGAGGAAATGGTTCATAGTCTGACGTTTTCGAATTCAACGTTGAGTCCGTATGATGTAAGGTGTCTTAGTGAAAAATGAGGTGCTGTGCCTCTACATCTTACGTTAGCCTCAATGGAACCCTGCGACATACCAAGGACAGAAATATAGGCATGTAAACAAGATGGCGTATTAAAATGGCAAGCAACTAGAAGGTCGGGGTTAACTATTTCATCAAAGACCTTACTACCATTAGGTCAGAAGTGGGGATTTTCCATTGATCTTTATCACCATTCACCACTCCTCAGATACTGGATCAAGGTCTGACCAGCATCCAAGCTTGGGCTGATAAGTGGCATTAGCATTCAGTCACATATGGGACAGACGATATTCATCTTCAACAAGAGAGAATCATCTCCCCTTGATATTCAGGTTATTACCAGTACTGAACACAAGGGATTCGATGTCCTAGGGGCTACTGTTGACCAAAAACTGAATTAGACCAGACATATATGTATAATGGCTACAAGAGCAAATCAGGCTGGGAATTCTAAAGCAAATAACTCCCTTCCTGACTCCCAAAAGCCTACGAGGCATAAACCAGGAGTATGACCGAATACCCTCGGTTGCCTAGATCAGTGCAGCTCCAACAACGTTCAAAAGCATTGTCACCATTCAGAACATTGGCAGCCCATTCAATACCTTTTTAAAATGTTCCCTCTGTCTACAACTATCAAGTAGTCGCAGCATTGTGCAGCAACTCACTCAGGCTCCTTCAGCAACATCTTCCAGGTCGACAATCTCTACCACTAGAAGGACAAGGATAAAAGATGTACGGGAACTCCACTTTCTGCAAGTTCCCCTCCAAGCCACACGCCATGTCAACTTGGAACTATATAGCTGTTCTTTCACTGTTGTTGGGGCTAAAATCCAGGAATTTCCTGCATAACAGCATTGTGGGTGTACGTACGCCTCTTGCATTGAAGCATTTCAAAAATACCTTCAGAAAGACTCACCACCACCTTTTCAAGGGAGATTAGGAATGGAAAATAAATGTTGGCCTAGCCAACAATGGCCACACCCAATGAGATAATAAATAAGAATTATACCTCTGTCTTTAATGAGCTTCTGTTGAGCAATCCAGAATGAGTACTCAGTCATAGAGTCACGGAGATGTACGGCACAGAAACAGACCCTTCCGTCCAACTCGTCCGTGCTGACCCAGCTATCCTAAATAGATCTAGTCCCATTTGTCAATGTTTGGCCTACCTCCTTGTAAACACTTCCTATTATCGTAATCATTCAGATGCCTTTTAAATGTTGTATTTGTACCAGCCTCCACCACTTCCTCTGGCAGCTCATTCCATACACGAACCACCCTCTCAATCATGTATTATGATTCCATACAACTCCTTGCGTAAGTTCATAATTTACTTGAATAACATACACCAATTCTACCTTTGATCTCTACATTCCAATAATATTAACTCTAAACCACAACATTCCAAAAATCAACTAGTGCAGATTTCAGAGAGCATGGATCAAAACGCAGGTATTACTGTCCATTAATCTCTCCTAATGATTTTGTTATCCTCGTTGACTAATCTACTTAAGCTCATTATTCTGCCATTAATGGTGACAAAGCAACAAGTCCCAAGTCACATGTCATTGATAACTGACTGAATTTCTCAGTCCTTCAAATTCTTATTGTTTGCAAAGTGTCCTAGCTCAAGAGAACTGGATTCTGAACTAAAAGCTATTTTCACTGAATGCATGCTGATCCCAAAACAAAACAATTCCAGGAAATTGTGACATCATATGCTGCAATAACAATCGCATCCCACAAACTTTGTCTCAGTTCTCTCCAGCCCACAATTTCTGCTAATTGACAGCCAATCCTCAGCCAGGCTCGACATTGTAAATGTACCCATTGAAAAGAAGTAAAGAGCCAAAACTTATAGAAATACACACCAAAAATGTAGAAAAATAAGAGGTACTCACTTGAGTTTTAAATGCCTGAAGATTATAGGAGTTCAATAGCCTGATTTAGCTTTGTAAACACTGGGAAAGAGTGTAGAAATGCAGACAATGCAATTGGTTAGTCCTATCTTTACACAGAATATAGGTAGATGGAAAACGTAGCTATTTCTTTCATCTACTTTCTGTCTCCACACTGTTAACATGGGGAGCAATGGCGTAATGGTGTTACCACTGGAGTATTAATCCAAAAACTCACCTAATGTTCTGGGGACCTGAGTTCAAATCAGGAATACGAACTCAATACAATGAATTTGAATTCAATAAAGATCTGGAATTAAGGGTCCAATGATGACTATGAAAACCATTGTTGATTGTCGGAAAAACCCATCTGCTTCACTGACGTCATTTAGGGAAGGAAATCTGCCATTCTTACCTGATCTGCCCTACATGTGACTCCAGACCTACATCAATGTGGTTGACTCTTAACTGCCCTCTGAGCAGTTAGGGATGGGCAATAAATGCTGGCCTAGCCAGACACACACACACACACATACCATGAGCGAATAAGAACAGGATGGCTGAGATTATACAATACTTTTCAGACTTACCAATAAAGATAGCACTTACATCTGTGGATAATTGACCAGGAAATGCCATTCCCTAATATAAATGCTCCTTCTTGCATCCATTAGCATTCAATTGCAGTGACAAAAGGAGCACAAAATCCAAATTTTAATAGTTGGTGCACCGTCATGCTCTGTAATAAAATGGTTCAGAACACAAGTTAACTGAGTAGCTGCCTAAAGAATAATTTCTCAGTCTCCATTTAATCCATTGGATTATTTGAAACAAAAGAAGTGCATTTTAAGAAGCAAGAAATATTAATGAAATGTTTTCTTTCTTGTTTAGGAATCCTGCCTTGCTCTGAAAGCATATATCAATGAAACACTGGGTAACTATATTGTTAACGTAACAAATGCTGCAATTATCTGCAGTTGGTTGTTGTGCACAGGCCATGGCAGATGTGCACGAATGAACAATAATACCTACTCTTATCTGCATCTAAACCCAGACATCTTTAGAATAAGTGTGAACCCTTCAGACAAAGGGCCAGCATTTATCCTGCGACAGAAGGCTGAGAAGGACATGAGAGAAATGGCGGCCACATTTCATTGCCACTGCTACAATGGATGGACAGGGGAACACTGCGAGATTACAAATGGATAGACCTGCGACGCTGTGTAGCCTTTTAACGAGTGCTTAAAGTGAGCAAACACCAACCTGCAGCAATGGCTTACTTTCTTTTTCATTGGTGGATTTACGTGGTTGAAATAAATACAAAAAATATTGTAAGTACTAAGCAGGTCTGGCAAAAAAATATCCAAAGAATTGCGGATGCTGGAAATCAAACAAAATCAGACGTTGTTGGAAAATTTCAGCAGGTCAGGCAGCATCTGTGGAGAGGCAAAAAAAGGAGTTAACATTCCAGTGAGCTTCCTTCAGAACAGTGGCAGCATGGGTGAGGGAAAAAAACAGAGTTCATGTTTCAGGGGTTTTAGCTCTCATTTTCTGTCTATAGACGCTGCCTGATCTGAAGTGTATTACCAGCATTTTATGTTTCAACTTTAGATTTCCAGTATTTGCAGTGTTTGTTTTTGTGTCATACATACATATGAACAAGCAATTTAGGAGCAGGTGTAGGACACACAGCCCCCTCGAGCCTGCTCCGCTATTCGGTAAAATCACACATGATGTGATTATTCCACATTCCCACCAATCTCAAAGACTGGGTTCATTTGGGATTTACATCTGGAACCACCTACACCCAAAGTGAGAACATACCAATAGACCAATAAATTTGCTTTCGTCTGGTGTCATCAGCATGTACACAATAAGTATTCAATAAAATATTTTTTCCCACTAATGCATTTTTTTTGTGTATCAAGCTGCTGGTATTGTGTTCCTGTCTGGTAAATGAAATGGAATATATTTTTAATTGTTTTTATTTAAGCACACTGGTTTCAGTTTCTCCAAGGGCTACCCTTCCAGTAATGGATCTGTACTGTGATCACTTGAGCTCCTCCAACTGTCTGCCAAAATACATTCTACTCCAATGGAATTAGATTTTTCTTCAATCAGTGTTAACAATGGGGTTAACCTGTTTTAAATTAATGGCTCAGCACTAAATTAGCATTCACCACCCCCTATCTCACCATTGATGTTTTGCATTACCCTTAATGGGCATTGCATCTGAATTATTCAGTTATCTATTGGTGGTTGATAGATTAAAAAACACAGGTGATTTGGTGATGGGAATAAAAAATTGTTCAGTTGTGTGTAAGAGCACTTCTGGATGTAGAAAAAAGTTAGTGTTAATGGGATCTTGTGGCACGGTGGTAGTGTCCCTACTTTTAGACCAGGAAGCTTAGAGCTGGAGCTCCACACTGTATGGATTCAAGTCCTACCTGCTTTAGAGGTATATTATAACGTCTCTGAACAGGTTAATTTTAAAAAAAACTTGATTGTATTATCCTGCTAACATTTGTCATGCACACTTTTTTATTTCTCCATATTAATCCCTATATCTTTTGTCATCCAGGGAGATCTGCATTTGTATAGAGCTATTGTGTCTGTGCTGGCTGAATAAACTAGCTACCAGTTTTTTCCCACTTTACAACATCTGGTCCTTGTAGGCTTTTACTTTTTACACTGCATCAGCTGCAGATCCTGATTCCTTTAGCTCAGCCAGATTAAAGTCAAGTCCTTCAGACCTTTTCATATTACTAACTACTGAAATGATGAATTTATCACAGTTGCAGCCTTCTTATGTCGTAACACATTCAGGAAATATTCTGAAAAGTGGTGCAGATGTAGAAATCTCCACTATTTTAGCACAGACTTCAGAAATACTTCAGTAAGTAACTGACTCATATACTAAATGGAATTAAAAGAACATTTTATTGAGAATGCCTCTGTTTCTTTGTCTCCTGTTTTCTATATGGGCTTTCAATGTATTCATTTGGCACCCCTCTCATCTAATTTCAGATACTGCAGACTGCTCCTGATCTTTATTATTGGTGGATTTTATCAATAGTTAGAACAGGTATCATTGCCAAATCGTTCTACAATTAAGATCAGCTAAACTTGGAATCTAACTCAAAGGGACTTTCAAAAAGTTTGAATCTAAGAAGTTAAAGTGTTTCCTCAGTTTTCAATTCTGACAATTTACTGGTTAAATTTTAATCATTACCTAAAATTCATGCAAGAATGATTCTCACTGGTCTCCCATCTATTGCCCCATACTTTAAAGAACAACTACTAGCTAGCAAATTAAAATTAAATGCATAAGGAGTGGGTACATAGGAAGACCAAGAACTGACACTTTAGATCCAGTCAACAAAAATGTGCGGAATATACTATGAAACATGATTAGGGATCACAGCACCCAAAGACAGCCATTTCGATGCTACTAGTTCCATAGTAAGTAGAACTAAGGTGATTATTCCCAACTTTGTCAATTTAACAAAGTTTATAAATATTAAATGGTGTGATGACTACTCAACTAGTCTTCCAGATGAAGCTTTCTGGTCTTAAATAGCACTCACTTTTCAACTGACGTTCAAAGCCAATTCCACCGTATCTTATGCAGTACAATGGCTCAGTGATTAGCACTGCTGCCTCACAGTGCCTGGGACACTTAAGTTCAATTCTAGCCTCGGGTGACTATCTATGGAGTTTGTACATTCTCCCCGTGTCTGCATGGATTTCCTCCCACAGTCCAAAGATGTGTGGATTAGATGGATTGGCCATGCTAAATTGCCCTTAGTGTCCAGTTATGTGGAGGTTAGGTGGATTAGCCATGGGAAATGCAGGGCTACAGGGATAGGGTAGGAGGGTGAGTCTCTGTGGAGTGCTCTTTGGAGAGTTGGTGTGGCCTTGTTGGGCTGAATAGCTGTTTCCACACTCTAGGGATTTTATGAAAGTTGTGGGATGTTCATGTGGGTTTAGGAAAGCAAGCAGCTTTCTTTTGACCTCATTCCACAGGTTGGCACTGTGTGAGGTAGAGTAGTTCCTTTTTTTCCCTCCAGTTGGCGGTGCTGTCTGTGGCAATTCTGTTCTTCCCTCCAAGTGATGGTTGCATCAACCAAGGGAGTGTTTATTTTCAATGGCCATGGGTTCATGGACAGTGGTAACGATATGAGGTTGTCAGTGTTTGTTGGCAACTTTAATAATTTGGAATAAAAACCAAAAGAACTGCAGATGCTGTAAATCAGGAACAAAAAGAAAGTTACTGGATAAGCTCAGCAGGTCTGGCAGCATCTGTGAAGGTAAAAAAATAGAGTTAACGTTTCAGGTCCGGTGACCCTTCCTCAGAATTAATAATTTGGAGCAGTCATGGCAACAAGTGAGCAATTGTAGCTTGGTTTCAGAGACATAGAAAAGAAGAGTAGGCCACGAGGCCCATTGAGCCCACTCCACCATTCAACGTGAACATGGATGATCCTTCAACTCAAAGCATATTCCCACTTTTTCATCATACACCTTGCTGCATTTTGCATCTAGAAATCTACTTTTTCAATATATTCAATGAATTCACCTCCACATCTTTCTGTGGTTGGGAATTCCACAGATTCACTACCACTTGAGTAAAAATGTTTCTCATCTCAGTTTGAAATGGCAAATTCCATTTCTTGAAACTGTGAACCCATTGTTCTGGATGCTCCTGGCCAATCTCTTATACTTTCTCTTCTCTTCTCTGACTTGCTTTTTTTTTTCGGTTCTCCTCTGAAGAGGAGGTCCACACCCAATGTATTATCCTGCTAACATTTATCATGCACACTTTTCCTCTATATTAATCTCTATATTTTTTGTCATCCAGGGAGGTCTGGATTTTTTCACTCAACCTTTCCCCTTTGGAAGAATATATTTGACTGTGCCCAAACTATCTTTAAAGGCAGCCCATTGTTCAGTTTCAATCTAGTCTTGCGATCTTTAATTCTAATTTACCTTGGTCAGACCCATGCTTCTTCCCCATTGAAGCTGGTTTTCTTCCAGTTATTTATTTTTACACTAGATTATTTCATCTTTTTCCTGAGCCAACCAAAACCTCATGACCACTGACCCCTAATTGTTTCCCTAGTGATACTTGATCCACATTGCCCACCTCATTCCCAAGAACCAGGTCTGGCAGCACCTTCTTTCTCATTGAGATAGAAACATTCCACTGTCGAATATTCCCCTGAGCACATTCAAGGTACACTGGCTCATGTCTGCCCTTTACACTACTACTATCCCAGTCTTTATTCAGACAATTATAACCACTCTATAATTCTTCCACTTCTGTAATTTTCTAACAACCTTCTCCCTTTACACCTTACCCTTTAGTTGGTGATCTAGGGACTGCATGGAATAAAGTAATTGCATCTTTTTGTTCCTTAGCTCTGGCCAAATAAATTCGGTCCTTGATCCCTCTGAAGCATCTCTCTCCAATACTGGAATGTTTGCCATAATAATGTCACCCCTCCCCCTTTCCTTCCTTTTTTAGCATTCCTGAGCTTCTGGTATCCAGGAATATTTAATACCCAGTACTGCTCTTCTGTCAGCCAGGTATCCATTATTATAATAATATCATATTTTGATATGGCTATCAATGTCTGCAACTCATTGATCTTGCTATACCCTGTGTATCTGCATAAATGCTGCCAGACCTGCTGAGCTTTTCCAGCAATTTCTGTTTGTGTTTCTGATTTACAGCATCCACAGTTCTTTTGGTGTTTATTTAGTACATTGGGTTGAACCCTGTCATGAAAGAACCTTAATATATGTTGAAGTAAATGATACAAGAAGTGAAATTTTGCAGATAATTTCTTCACCTTCGCTTGGTAAAGGTGGTTCTTTTGGATAACTAATCCTGCCAACGATCATAAAACCATGAGCACTTCCAGTTTGTTCCTGCAACTTTACACTGATGGAGGTTCCTGAAAGTTGTTCGGGCCTGTATTAAATGTATTAATGAGATTAATACAAAAGTCCTTGGTTATGGGGTTACATTTTGTGCTGAATTCCATCACAAATAAAACCCACCAGGTTTTTGGCAGGGCTTTGTTTCCAGGTTGTTGCCACATGAATGAGCTAATGTGCTGTGACAGAAAAGAGTCCATAATCGCCCTGGTACTTTATGTACAATGTACATGGTGGCAGCAGTAATATGTCCTGCTGGGTAACCTCAGTCCAGAATGGAATATGATTGCAGTGAAGTTCAAGGTCAAGCAATATCTGCATGTGGTATTGTTTATTTGATAAGAGTCTATGGGAAAGATAGGCCGGCGTCAGTAAAAATGAGTTCGTTATCATTGGCCAATTGCCAGGGAGCAATTCCAGGGAGCAAACATTCTCTGTTTGCATGGCCTATTGCGTATTAGAGAGAAAGACATTGTGTTCTGTACTGTACAGTAGTTTTGTTTTAAAAACATGAATTAACATTTGATGGTATTTTAATTAACTTATTTATCATTTTTAAGAACTGTATAGTGAGTATTTTAGCTGCAAACCCTTAGATTCATTTCGCACTTTGATTTTTTTTTGACTGCTTAAGACATGAACTACTATTGCTGAAACTTTCTGCCAAAGTGACTCAGAAGAAAGATCATGATGACGTTCAAATCCATGTGGATATGACCATTGTTGCTTCCTTCACCATTTTGCAATGATTAGAATTGATGCTCCTGTTCCTTGGACTTAAGGCAAATATTAAAGTGTAGTGCTGAACAAATACCCAGCAATCTAGTATGAATTTACACGATTCATTATAATACAGCTAACTTTGTTTTAACCGGCATCTGTTGAAGATTCACACTGGATAAACTGGCAAAAATTATATACCTGAAATATCGGAGGTTTACTGTATTATGGTGATCTCC